CGTCCTGCGCGCGCGCCGGCGCCCCGAAGGGCAGAGCTCCCGCACGCGGGAGACGGTGGGCACCGCCTTCATTCCGAGAACCGAGGCCTCAGGCTCCGGCAGCGGCTCCGAGTTCTCTGGTCGCCTCTTCCGAGAACCCAGGGCGCGTCCCCACAGGCCCGGGGCCGGGCCGGGGGGGCACTCGCGGGACCAGAGACGTGCGGGCCGCTGCCCCAGGGCGCCCAACCCGCTGTCACGGGGACAAGTTCCCCGCAAAGGGGCGGTGGCAGCGGCCCCTTCCTCGCAGCCCGCTCTGGCCCCAGGTCCGCGCCCTGAGACCACGGCGTCCCTACCGCGGAGCCCTCTCAGTGCCGGAGAGCGGACCGCACGTGGACTGCCCCCGCCGCCTCGCTTCACCACTTTCTACCGAACGTGCCGCTCAGCGCCCGGACTCCAGCAGCGACGCTCACATTTGCCCCCGAGCTCCACAGCCCACGATCTCACTGGCAGGCGCCCAGCTGTGGCCACTACGCCCGCCCTGGCGATGCGAAGCATGTGGTTTGGGGCTGGAGATCAGCTGCGGCTCCTCCAGGGTCTCCAGGTTTAGCTGCTCGTTGGTTCGGGTTCTGCTTTGTTGAATTGGCAAAGCGGAGGAAGGCACATGGCTTTGCCCACCGCGGGGCCTCTCCAGAGAGTTCCCCGGAGACAAGGCTCAGACAGCATTTCCAGGGCCGACCGCCCGGCCTGGACGGGTGCGCAGAAAGCCCGGCAGAACGAGCAGAGACAGCACCGCACGCACAGCTCCTCAGGCACCACCGGGACTCCCGTCACTGTTTGTGACTCAGGAGATTCCGCTGACCAACGCCCCGGGGAACCTGGAGAATAGCAGCCCCCAGAGCAGCTAGAGAATAGGAGCCGCTCACTACCACTCACAAGGCCGCAGGCTGCGGAGGGCACTTCGCCTGCGGACACAGCGCGCACTGCGGTCAGCACCACAGTGGAGGCTCAGACCAGACCCCGGGCTGGGAGGGCACAGTCCTGCCTTCCGGGGCCGCGCGGAACCCCGACAGCCACACCCTCCTCGCCCTCTGTCACGATCCCGGTGACACAAGCACCCTCCACTGATGGCAGGAGCCAGCATGGTGGTAACACAGGCGCCCACCAGCCTCGTCCTCACTCTGTGTCACTGACCCTGTCCCCCGGCAAAGCGGATCCGGACTCGGACTGGAAGGCTGGGAGGCGCTCGGTGAGGAGGGGCAGGGAGAGGTGAGGGGGACCCAGCCCCCAGGCTCCTGGTGGGGCTCAGCTCAGGGCCGTCCTCACTCGGGTCCTGTGTAATGCACCACGGGGACAAGTGCGGAGGTGGTGTCCTGAACTCCGAGCTCCAGGGGCTGAACTGCGACAGGGCACCTCTTCTTTCTCTGCAGGAGGAGGAAGCAGACGCAGGACCTGAGGGTGGGCTCGGCCGCGCGGCCTGGAGGAAAGGGGATGTTTTTCTTCCGTAAGCAGCTGCTGTCTCGGGGTCTGGAGTCACTGAGGGGAGCCAAGAGGAGGTGGACGGTGGGGACGGAGGACCCCGGGTCACCTGGGCACAGCTGGACGTGGAGACGGCCCCGAGGGGAGGGGTGAGCCCGAGTAAACAAACTCCCCCTCCCGGAAGACAAGGTTGCGCTGCGGAGTCTGAGACGCTGGCTGCCTGGGCTGGAGGCTGAAGGGCAGCGCCCTCCTGCGGCGTCCCGGTCTCGACGCCGGAACCTGTGCGTGCGTGGCTTTCATGGCAAGGACGGTGAGGGGGGTTCCCCCGGGTTGTGACAGGGGTCCTCACAAGAGGCACACACGTCGCTCCCTCAGAAACAGGTCTACACCCCCGTCCTCACCACAGCGTCGTCCACAGCAGCCCAGACGCAGACACAAGCCCGTGTCTGTGGCAGAGGCGTGGACACGGGGGTGTGCACTGCGCGTGTGGATGCGAGGGGCGCGGTTCGGCCAAGAGCCAGGAGGAGACCCGGCCCTTTGCAGCAGCACGGACGGCCCCGGAGGGCGTGTGCTAAGTGCGATGAGCCGGAGGAAGACGCGGCTGCTGGACCGCAATCTCACCCACGTGCGGGAGCTGAGAACACGGGCCCACAGGGGCAGAGAGGAGACGGGGGTCGGGGGTTGGGGCGGGGGAGGATGATCACAGGGACAGACGTGCAGTCACAGGTGAGTGAGTTCTGCGTGATGACTCATTAACAACCCTGGGAGCTCACTAAGGTCACTGGCAGGTCACTAAGGCGGTGGATCTTTGTTGCCATTACCACAGGAACACAGTGATGCCGGGAGGTGGTGGAGGTGCCCAGGCCTTGCGGCCGTCGTTCTGCTCCACGCCTGCCGGTCAGGTTGTCCCAGTGCGCACCGTGGACACACAGTGTTACATGTCAGCCTTGGCCCGGGCAAGCCTCGGGGGGACCGCAGGCCCTGTTGCTGAGGGTCTTTGGTGGGTGGGTGATGGCTGCTTGGCTCCTAGGTCACCAGCTCACCGGCAACTGGTTTCAGAGCCCTGGTCTCATGTAACCAGCTATCCAGCTGGCAAAGCAACACCACTGGGTGTTCTCAAAAAGAACTATACCCTCATGAGGTGTGGACCCCCCACGTTTGGTCCCTAGCAAGCCTGCAGCCCCCCCATACGGAGGGGCAGGTATTCCCGATTAGCCCACTAGTTGGCAACATTGAGGTGGTATCTGCGGTGGCCAGCACCCAGGTGTTGTTCTCAAGTTCCACACTAGATGGCAGTGGATGAGAGCGTTTCCTCCTGAGCTCTGCTCAGGTGCGTTTACCCGTTGCACCCTAAACTGCAGCAGAGAATAGTAACTTTTTATGATGCCATACACTCGGGTGTTATTCACCAGCTGCCCACTAGATGGCCGCAGATGAAAGGAGCTGGTCGCAGACGGGCACACAGTGCAGGGCTCCATTTACATGAACCGTCCAGGAGGGGCAGGTCCGTGCAGACACAGTGCATTAGTGGTTGCCAGGGACTCGGCAGAGAGGGAAGAGCAGTGACCGTTGAGTGGTAGGGGTTCTTTGTGGGGTGGAGAGAAGGTTCTGGAACTAAGTGGCTCAACCCACACTCCCCTGTACTCCTGACTCTCCACAAGGCCTTACCTAGGGTCCTCCTGCCTCCATCGACTGGGTCTCCACCCCGACTCCCAGCCGGGTCGTGGTACCACCGAGCTGTCGTTCCCTTGGTACCCTCCTCACCGCGCACGGCTGCCCGTGCGCCCACTGAGACGCCGTGGTCCTGGGACTCCCCGTCCTCCGACTCCCGCACCCGGCGCACACACACCCAGCAGCTTGGTGCGGTTTTGTGTTTTCGTTTTTTGCTAAGTTTTATTTTAATTCAAGGACTTTGCTTCATACAAAATGTCAATGTAGAAACAATAGCAGAATCCAAAGTTGGTTGGTAAATATCACTCAAGCAGCAAACTAGTCGATCACAGAACTTCTTTAAAAGTGAGCCCCAGTTGTGTTGTGTGGTTGGGACTTGTTTTTTTTTTCTTTTAACACTGTTCTTAAATATAAAGTTTTGCAACAAACTCTTGATTTATATCAAATATAATTAAAAATTAACAAATGATTACATTGTATCAAAAAGTACGAAGATATACATTGTCATGCACATACTTGCATATAGTATATATGTATAAATTTTACATGCACACGCAACTGGTTCGAACTACGGCCACTGCTCGAATGGTTCCGGTGCAGACAGGTGGTCGATGCATTCCAAGTTTGGCAACTCACTGTGGTTGTGGGGGAACGTGATGGCTGAAAAGACACGGTGCAGAGACAAAACCCCAAGCTGGGAAAACGAGACACACTGTGTTGGCCCCCACATTCTGTACTGTTCACCGTTCCAGTGTCTAGAGGAAGCAGCTGTGGTTCTGCACCTACTGAGCATGCTCAGAGTAATGGGCTGGGGCCCAGAGACGAGACCCCCTCTGCGCTGCGCCAGGTCGCAGAGCCCCCACGCACGGTCCCGCTGCGTCCGACTGGAGCAAAGTACTCCATGACCTTACAGTCTCAGGGCTGTGCCTTCCAGTAAGGAAACTATAAAATGGTTTGGTCACAATCGTGCTGAAACCCCAGAACAGGTGGCGGTCTTGTGTTTTATTTCTAGTAAACGTGTGTCTTTTGTTGCATAGCCCTATGGGGGAGCAGCATCCACTCACTGTGACACACACACACACACACACACGTCACACACCATTTCTTCACGGTGAATCGTGGGTACAGGGCAGTGGGAACACACGACGCAGCAAAGATCGACATTTCAAAACACAGAGGCCACGCTGGAACCTGCTGTCTGAACTCTCAGTCTCCCAGCGTCTCAGGCTTCACGTCCCACTATGGTCTTCCCTTCAGAGAGTGGCCGGCAGATGGACTCCACTCTCCCCGCCTGCGTCAGAGTGGGAGCTGCTCCAGCAGCCCCTCCGCAGCTGCTGGAGCCACGGTTCTCCGTGGAGGGGCGCTGCCTGCAAGTTCTGACCTCGGTTCAGCCGGGCCCCTGCCCGAGAAGCCCCGCCCAGCCCCTGCCCCAACACGCCCCCCATCTCTCCCACCTGGTGTGCAGAGGCACATTCACAACCACAGGTTCTGCTGGGCAGGTGTCCATCCCTGAGGGTCAGTGTGGCCCAGACTGGAAATGCCCCACACAGCACCTGCCCCTCGGAACGCTCAGAAACCTTCCATGTCAGAGGGAGCTGGGAAAGGGAAAAGTCCCCTCACCGCCAGTCACCCGTCCTACTGGACGTGGGCTGCGTGCTCTCAGCTGATGGCAGCTTTCTACTCGGTTGCCAGGTTGCCACACGGAACAGCAACCACACACCCAGCATGGCTCACACAGCCGCGTGGCACCGGCCCCAGGAGCCTGGCGCCAGGGCTTGGAGGTCAGGCACTTGGTCGGGAGCAGCGGGAGCCAGAGGTCGGGGGGGGGGGGGACCACCTGGACTGGTCAGAAGAGGGTCTCCTCACGCCAGTCACAGAACCTCGTGAGAAGTGGAGACCTTCCCACGGGTCTAAGCGTTTGCAGTCACTCCAGCATCTCCATCCCTGTTAGCTGGTCTCTGGTTTTTCTAGGTTGGGTATACAGAACTGACCAAAGAGCAACAGAGGTCGCTGTTAGAAACCAAAGCCGAGTTTCCGAGATTTGGTCCCTTGCAGGGTGGACAGTGTCTGGGGGAGGACAGAGTGTCGGACGTACTGAGTCCACTTGCTGCTTAACATTTAAAGAACCGCGCAGGACGCGTGGCCGAGGGGTGCAGATGAGACCCGTGCACGCCACTGGCGGGCCCCGGGGCTGCTGTTTTCCTCACCATTGCCCGGCCCCGTGACCTCGCTGCTGCTGCTCCACACCACACGTGGGGAGAAAGGCCACGCCTGAGGCCACATCTCCTCCAGGGCCCACGCGACTCCCCAGGTGCCGGGGCCCATCCCCAAAGGTTTGGACTCACAGGGCGCTGCTCCGCACACACCCCTCGTGTGGGGTCCATCGTGCGTGACCCAGAAAGGGAGCGTGAGGGGACAGAGGGCCGCGGGCCGTGATGCAAGGGCATGAAGCCCCCCCCCCCCAGTGAAAAACAGGAGAGGAGCCGCCGCCGCCGCCTCAGTCTCCCCGAGCGTCGCAGGAGCCCAGCACAGATGATAAAACTCATCCACGGGAGCAGGGCCCGCTGGCGGGTGTGTGGCGAGGGGGCCGCGGTGCGCCTAGCACCAGTGGTCCTGGTCGGGGTGGTGGAGGCTGTGCCGCGTGCGGCTGCCCGAGCCGAGGCCCAGGGTGCAGTGGTAGCCGTTGGGCACGCGGCGCAGGGGGTGGGGCTGGGAGGTCAGGGAGGACACGTAGGAGGTCCGGGAGGAGCGGCCCGAGTTGGTGGCCACGGCCTCCTCGAAGGTGAGCACGTCCTCGGGCTGAGGACGGGCAGTGGCCTCGCCGTCCAGGCGCTGCCCCAGGTAAGGGTCGGAGCCGATCCGAGAGCTGGGGACCAGGGGCTGGCTGAGGGGGTCTCTCTGGAGCAGGGCATTGTGTTCAGAAAGGCCTCGGCTCAGCCGGCCAGGGGAGAAGGCGGGCAGGCTGGTCTGAGTCCCTGCGAAGTGCACGGGCGAGGAGTTGGCCGTCTTGTAGGTGATGCTGGGGCGCGGCGTCAGCGGGGTCTGGGGGAGCTGCCTCCGCCCGCCGCGGCCAGGAGTGCTAGCACCAGATGTGGACAGCAGGGGGCTCCCGTTCACTGACCCGCCACCCTGCAGGAGGAGGGGGCACAGCAGTGCAGTGAGCGCCTCGGCAGGGGCAGGCTTGGGGGTGGGTGGCCGTGCCCAGGCTCTAGCTGCCGGTTGGGGAACAGTGGGTGCGGGTCAGAGGGGTGCCGCAGAGCCACGGAAAAGCCAGAGGGGATGAGGTCAGGTGGGGAGGGGCTCGGACTTGGACCAGGGAACAGGGACTAAAGGGGCACCAGGCCAGGTGTCAAGGGGAGAAGCGGCCTTGGCTGCCTTGGCAAACCTGTCTTGGGGGTCCTGGCTCCGGCCCAGCCGTGGGCGACGTGGGGTGGCTGTTGAGGGAGGGCCTGGGCTGCAGGGGCTCCCGGCCCCCAAATCGGTCGCATGAGTAGAAGCGCTGCTTCTCGGAGGAGGAGGAGGAGGGCTGCCTGCGTTCCTGGGACCGGCCCCGCTCCTGCCTGCGCTCCCGCCGGCCACCCGTGGGTGCGTCTCCAGGGGGCGGTCCCGGCCCCACAGTGCTGCTGGGTGCTGGTCCAGGGAGAGAAGTCGTCCACTGAGCCAGGCGGGGAGCAGGCGCCCTCACCCCAGACCCGGTGTCCAGGCTGGCAGAGGGTCCCAGGGGAGAGGCCGAGGCAGGCCAGAGCTGGGACACACTCCCGAGCTCAGGGCCGTCAGAGCCATTGTGAGGCACAGAAACCTGAGGGTCCCGACCCCCTCGGGCTGCCACACCCCAAGCTCAGGCCACTGCCACTGGAGGGCCCTCACACGCACCGCCATCCGCATCCGCTGACAGGCTGGGCCCCTTCTCCAGGGACTTCTGTTTCCGGTCCCTGCGGCGGTGGCAGCGGTGGTGGTGGTGGGTGGCAGCCTGGCCGGTGGGCGGACGGCCCAGGGGGGCGTGGCCAAGAGGAGCCACGTGGGGGCGCTGGGGCGCCAGCGTGGAGACGGAGCGCTTCATCGGGCTGGCGTCCGAGGCCGGCTGCACAGGGACAAGGGTGCGCCCGCCTGAGAGGGGCCCGGGCAGGCTCCCGGCAGGGCGCACAGCAGAACAGCCCCGCCACCGCAGACCGGCCTCCTGGGGCTTGCTGGGGGCCTACCTTACCCGCCCCGCCCCGCCCATAGACCACCCTTCGGACAAGAAGAGCATCTGCAGGGGCGCTGTACCTAATGGTGTCCCCCCTGCCCAGCTGGGTGGTGCCTGAAGGGACACCTGGGGGCAGTGGGGACAGACAAGAGGACGTGAAAACTGGAAGGACAGAGCCACCGTGGGAACAGGAGTGATAAGTGACTAGAATCGAGGGCAGGTTTAACTGTATGGAACCAGAAACCACGAGAGGGGAGGGCCCGGCAGGGCTCTGAGAGCTGCACACAGCCACCGACCCTGAGGGTCCAAGGCCAAGGCCAGCAGTGCCTCCTGACATGACCTCAGGTCTGCAGCCCCCTCCCTGCATCCTCATGAGAGGGGCCCAGCCCCTGCCAGGGCCCTGTGCTCCGTCAGCAAAGGGCCCGCAAGGAGCAGGGGCCAGAGGGGCGTCGCCTCTGGTGTCCAGAGAAAGACAGGCCAGGCCACCCCCAGAGGAGCCCAGGGCCCGAGGACATGGTGGGGAACGGGTGGTGGGAGGCGGGAGGCACCAGGGCATTTTGGGGGGGGGCTGGCAAAAGAGAAGAAAGGCTGGGTCAGGGACGCAGGCTGTGTGCCCCACAGGGACATACGGGGCTCTGGAGACCAACACTGTCTTCTGGGGGTACCCATCGGGGCTGACACTGTCCAGGCAGCTGTGAAGCTGGGGAGGCTGCAGGCCGGCTCTCCTCGTTTCCCCCTCCCACCCCCCACCCCAGCTCCCAGACCCCACCCACCTGTGTCCCTGCCGCCAGGCGGGGCATGGAGGCGGCTCGACCCTGGCTCTCCAGCCCAGGTTGGGGCTCCCCGTCAGGGCCCCGCGGGGCCTTGCTCTGCGTCTGCACATCCACAGCCTGGGGGTACAGCGGCCCCACCCAGTCACACCCACTGCGGATCCCAGCCTCGCCTCCTCCCAGCCCCTCCCCCAACCCCATCTGTTCTCCTCCACCCTCGTCCGGCTCCCGGCCCCGAGCTCAGCCCCCGGACACGCGCCCACCCCCGGCCCGCGCGAGCCTCCTCACTGGTTTTCCCGATGGCGCCGCAGGGATCTCTGTGGAGTGGCCGCGCTCCAGGGGGGTCCGCGCCTCGCAGGGCGCCTCCTGGGCCCTCTGGGTGGTGCCCCAGGAGACAGACTCTCTCATGCCGCTCTCGGGGGTTTGCCTGTGGAGAAGAGAGGCTTGCTCTGTCGGCTCCGAGGTCTGGGAGGCACGGAACGTCCACCCGGGTCCGGCCCCACTTGCCGGGAACCTGCACCCCCTCGTGCACAGGTGCTTCCGAGCAGGGGCACGGCCAGGGGTGTGGGCCCAGTGCCAGGGCTCCTGTGCAGCGGGGCAGGGACGAGGCCACATGTGCACAGCGTGTGGAACACAGAGCCGCCAAGACGTCCCGCCCACGGCGGCCACACCCCCTCCGGAGGCTCCACGTCCTCACCTCCAGGCCCGTCGGCCCCGCCGACCTCCCTGACTCCCCTCGGATGGGGGCTCCAGGGCCGCGCCTGGGGGGGGCTTCCACAGCGCATGCGCGGCGCCTGCAGGCTCCTCCCCCTTCAGTGCCAGTCTTTCCGATCCCGTCTCCCAAGTGGCATCAAAACTGCCCGGGTTCTGCCGGCTCGTGCCCACCGCACTCGTCTCCCGTCACCCGTCACCCCAGCCCAGTGGCGCCCTCACGCTCCGAGTCTGAAGGCGGACTGATGGCCTCTGCGGGCTAGCCGACAGCCACGCCGCTGTCCCTGGGGCTTCTGCCCCCACCCAGAGTCTGCGGGCACCACCGAGAACTGCGGGTTTTTGGGGGTCTGTTCCCAGTTTCCGTAGGGCCCCCTCCGGGTTCTGCGGGGGCTTCCCCTGCCGTGTCGCCCCCCCCCCCCCCCCCACGACCTCAGGCCTGGAGGATGGGCCCACGGAAAGGCCTGGACGCCTCCACCCTGGCCTTCCTCTCGGGCCTGCCCCAGACACTGCCAGGCTGGCCCCGAAACTGGAAGAAGTGACCCGCCACAGAGCTACAGCAGTCTGATGCTGCCCGGGGTGACACTGCTGCAACTGCCTGGCTCACCGTCCTCGGAAGAAGAATGTGAAACACAAGAACCAGAGCCCTCTGTGCCCACCGCGCTGGCCTTGCCCCATGGAGGACAGCAGGCTGGGGGCCAGGCCCCACTCAGCCCCGGCAGGGTCCGATACAGCTGTGTCCCTGCCCGGGCCAGTGGGGACCTGCAGGCAGGGGACCTGCGCTGGCCCGGCCCCGGCTGGAAGCGCCCTGCCCTCACGCGGAGCCCCCGGTGGCCGCCTGTCGGCTGTCTGCAGTGTACAGACCGAGACCGTCACGGCACGTCGCTTGGTGTGGGTGGCTCTTTACCAAGAATCACTGTGGCGAGTGTTCCGTGACATGGGGCGCCCTGCCAGCTGGCCTGGGACACACAGCTGCCTCAGAAATCAGCACCAGAGGCAAGACAGGGAGGCGTCTCGAAGGAGGCGGGAGGATCAGAGCGCTGACTGGCCACCGCCGGACGGCAGGGGGTGAGGACCCAAGGCGGGGACGAACGGTCTGCACGCGGCCAGGGCCCGTGAGGAAGGGGAGGCCCAGATCCTCACCCGACAGTGACACAGGCACTCGTGGTGGGAGGCGACAGCTGGGACCAGGACTTGTCTAACCACGGCTCTCAGAGCCGTCAAAGGCTGTCTGATGCCGGGGGGACGCAGTTCAGAGTTCACCACCAAAACGGTCGCACCTGGACTGGCTTACAGTGGGCTCCCACAGAACGCCTGGGGGGGGGCACAGAGCCAGTCCCAAGAGCTGTGACGGGCCCTGAGGACCCCTCTCCTGAGTGTTGCCCAGGGGAGCCCCTCGGAGTGGGGAGACGGAGAGCCCAGGAGCTCGGCTCTCCCCGACGCTGCCGGCCCCGCGCTGTCCAGGGTCGACACCCCCGCCCAGGACTCACACGGCTCCGCCGTTGCTGAGCGAGGCCGAGCTCTTCTGCTGGAGGAAAACCCGGGCTCCTCGCAGCACGGCCGGCTGCGTCTGCTCCAGTGTGGCCTTCAGGGGGTGGAACAGAGACACGGGGCCCATCTGCAGAAGGGGTGCGGGGAGAAGGGGTGCTCTGAGGGCTGGGTGACTCCTCGGCCCCACAGGGCCTCAGCGACCTGCTCCCGGGGCGGCCTGGAAGTGACCTCAGCAAAGCCACTTCGCTTCCCGGAGCTTCAGCCCCCCACCCACGAAGTTGGAGAGTCGATGTGATTACAGGCGGCGGAAGGAGTTCCTCTGAGCACCCCCCTCCGCTAGCCTGACAGAGGTGGCAGCAGCCCCGGGGGACAGTTCCGAGGAGGTTTTGCGGGGGGGACTCAGTGGACGATGGCAGCGGAGGGCTGTCCTGGGTGCCAGGCGCTTCCCTTCCCCAGGTGGGCAAAGACCCCAGGAGCTCCAAACACCAGGCCACTGGCTAGACAGACAGACCACGGGTGGTCACTGGCCGTGTGGGGAAGGCGTCGCCTCCACAGGGTGACTTCAGAAAGAGAGGCCCCCGAATCACCCCAGTCGGTGCCACAAGTGGAACAAATGGAGACCCCAGACTGTCAGTGGGGGTCGGTTTGGTCCCTGCCTGGGCCCAGGGGGGCGTGAGCTCTCCTTGCCCCTCCCAGAACTCTCTCCACCTGCCCCTTGTGGCGTTTCTTCCACGACCCACAAACACGGTGCTGCCTTGGGCCCACCCTCAGCCCTCTTACTCTCTGCCCCTGCACACAAGGGCCCCGAGTCAGGGGCTGCTCAAAGCCACCAGCAACCAGCTACAGGGACACATAAAGGCGAGGCAAGGTCCTGACTTCGGGGCCACCGAGGTGGCTGGAGGAGCTGCTCTTCCTTTTCCCCCCGCTGCTGTGCTGCTGTGAGAAGGGGCGGCCCCCGCTGTGCTCAGGCAGGGAGGGCGCCAGAGTCTCGGTACCGGAAACCGGGGGCTGGTACCTGCGACAGGCCTCCCGGAGCCTGGTGAAGCTGGTCTCTGCTGGTTTTGTTCTGTTTGTAGAAGTCAAATATCATCAGAGCTGCGTAGACTTTGCCAACTGTCATCTCGTCAGCTGGAGGGGACAGCGGCAAAGGGGAGGAGACAGAGACCGGAGCTTGGAGGAGCGGGGACCAGGGAAGCCACAGAAAACAGGGCGCAGCGTGGTGAGGAGGACTAGTGGGCACGCTCAGGCAGGAGCATGTTTTGGGCAAAGGACTCGTCCCCTGAACCCCAGCGATCCCTCCAGACCTGGCCACGTCCCGCCTGGAGCGCACTGACCCCACCCCTGCCCGGCCGCAGCAGGTCTCCCAGCCAAGGACAGTCAGAGTTTGTCTTTAGCACCTCATCATTTCTGGCATCTAAGACTGCTGGGAGTCCCCCCGTCCTTCCCCTGGGTTGTGTGAAGTCGCTCCCCACCCTGGGAGTGCGGGTGACTTTGCTCCACAGGGGACACCCCGGCACTTTCTCCCACGACTCCTGAGCACGACTTTAAAGACCAGCATTCCCCGCAGGTGGAAATCCAGTCTAGACTCTGCAGAAGGGGAGCCCGCCTCTCCGTGGTCACTGGGTAACACTCCGCGGGGGCCACCCTGCCCTGCCTCCGGGCGGGACACGGAAGGGAGGCTGTTGGCCTCACTCACGTTTATGAGGCGGCACCAGTAGGTCCAGGGTCTTCTGGGGCAGGTTGGCCCACACACAGGAGATCTCCTTCCTCAGTTCTGCATCACACTGGTGCTGCTTCGTGCCGGCTGGGGCGGGGCGGGAGGGGAAGAGGGGTGTCAGTGCCCCTCCGCAGTCCCCTTGGGGAACAGGCAGGGCTGGGCAGGCAGGGGAGACGTGGCCGTGGAGGCCGCTCAGAGCTGTGCCTGCCAGGACTGGTGTCCAGCGCATGGGGTGGGAGGGGCACGGTGATGTCCACACACCCACCCACAGGCTAATGCGCATGGAGCACCCACCCCACGTCCGGTGCTGCTCCCGGTGAGAGAACAAAACCGAAGGAGCTGCCCCGGGAGGATCGTGACTGTGGCCCACTGCGCAGGAGGGACACCTTCGCGGTCCAGTGTGGTGGGGAGAGGTGCAGCCGAGGGGGAGGGGGGACAAGTGTCAGGAGGCCAGTGTCGGGCAGGGGGGTCAGCAGAGGCCTCACGAGCAGGTGGCACGTGTGCGTAAGACCCTGAAAGCAGAGGGACCAGCTCTACTGTCGCCGCAGGGGTCAGGTGGCACCGGAGGAGAGGGCGTGGCACTGCTGCTGAGACAGGAGGCAGGCAACGGGGTGGGCCGCCCCTTCTCCTGAGGTCGGGCTCACCCCGACCTCCTCCGCGTGCAGGGCGAGTCCCCTTCCCAGGCGTCCCACTCCACGGACGCCCGGGAACCCACGTGGCGCAGCGCCCACCACCACAGCTGCGCGTGCGCCCTGGCACCACTGCCCACGTCCCCCAGAGCCTCCGCCCGCCGGTGGCCATTGCCGATGAGCTTCCTGTGCCTGTCACATTGCTTTCTGCAGGGCTCCGACTTCTTCACTGGGAAGGGTACGTGCGAGGCACCCACCTCGTGGGACGTGTCAGCAGCCAGTCCGTGTGCCACTGAGTGCTGGCTCACGACGCAGACCACACGCAGTGTGTCCGCCTGCTGGACGGACATCTGCGGTGTTTGCGGCGCGGGGCGAGCGTGGCCGAGGCTGCAGCCCTTCGCGTCTGGGCCGCTGTGCAGACTCTTCCACTTCACCCGGTTTGTCCTGCCCGGGTGACCGCTGACGCCGGGCCTCCTGCGTGTCTTTCCTGGCCTCCTCGTGTCCTCTCCGGTGCTGTGTCCGTTCAGTCATTTGCCTGTGTACTGGGCTGTTTATCTTCTTATTGCTGGAGACCACTCTGATATCACTGTGCTTGTCACACATATTTTCTCTCAGTCTTTGGCCTGCCATTTTATTTTCTTAAATGTCTTTTGAGAAGCAAGTTTTTAATTTTGATAAAACTCAATTTGTCAATTTTTTTCTTATATGGCTCATGCTTTTTGTATCTTAAAATAATCTTCGCCAAACTCGAAATTGCCAAGATCTTCCCCCTATTTTCTTTGAGAAGTTTTATAATTTTACGTTATGTCTATGATCCAGGTCTATAAACCCAGGTGGTTTCTTAAAAATATAGTTTGTTGGTCATGCGATTACAGTTGTCCCACTCCCCCCTCCTCCCCTCCCCCCGCACACCCCTCCCACCCACATCCCCCCCTTTAGTTCATGTCCATGGGTCACAAGTTCTTTAGTTTCTACATTTCCCACACTATTCTGCCCTCCCCGTCTATTTTCTACCTATTGTCTGTGCTACTTATTTTCTGTACCTTCTCCCCCCTTCTCCTCCTCCCACTCCCCTGTTGCTAACCCCCCATGTGATCTCCATTTCTGTGGTTCCGCTCCTGATCTAGCTGTCCTCTTAGTTTGTTTTTGTTTTAGGCATGGTTCTTAATAACTGTGAGTTTGCTGTCATTTTAATATACATCTTTTTATCTTTTCTTAGATAAGTCCCTTTAACATTTCATAAAATAAGGGCTTGGTGATGATGAACTCCTTGAACTTGATCTTATCTGAGAAGCACTTGATCTGCCCTTCCATTCTAAATGAAAGTTTGCTGGATAGAGCAATCTTGGTTGTAGGTCTTTGGATTTCATGACTTGGAATACCTCTTTCCAGCCCCTTCTTGCCTGTAAGGTCTCTTTTGAGAAATCCGCTGATAGTCTAATGGGGACTCCTTTGTAGGTGACTGTCCCCTATCTCTTGCTGCTTCTAGGATTCTCTCCTTCATTTTCATCTTGGCTAATATAATTATGATGTGCCTTGGTGTGTTCCTCCTTGGGTCCAACTTCTTTGGGACTCTCTGAGCTTCCTGGATTTCCTGGAAGTCAATTTCCTTTGCCAGATTGGGGAAGTTCTCTTTTATTATTTGTTCAAATAAGTTTTCCACTGGTGGCTGTTCCTCTTCCCCTTCTGGTACCCCTATAATTCAGATGTTGGAATGTTTAAAGATGTCCTGGAAGTTCCTAAGCCTCTTCTCATTTCTTTGAATTCTTGTTTCTTCATTCTTTTCTGTTTGGTTATTTCTTTCTACCTTCTGGTCCACTCCTTTGATTTGAGTCCAAATTTCCTTCCCATCACTATTGGTTCCCTGTGCATTTTTCTTCATTTCACTTAGTGTAGCCTTCATTTTTTCATCTAATTTGTGACCAGATTCAACCAATTCTGTGAGCATCCTGACTACCAGTGCTTTGAACTGTGCATCTGATAGGTTGGCTATCTGTTGGCTGTTTGCTGTGGAGGTTTGATCTGTTCTTCCGTTTGGGCATTTTTTTTTTTTTTGGTCTTGTCACGCCTGTTATGTAGTGAGGGGCAGATCACAAGGGTGGGGCAACCCAGTTGCTGGGTTGTGACACTGTGTGTGGGGGTGGGGTCCCAGAGGGAACGATGGTGCCCGCTCCACTCTTGGTTGGGTTTCAGTCCCTTCCACCACTTCCCCCAAGCAAACTGGGCCTTTCTGGTGCTGATTCCCAGTGGGTGAGCTTGTGTGCATTCCAGGACCCTGTGGGTCTCTCCAGCAAACTTTCCTGTGAGGCTGGGAGTCTCTCCCTGCACCTCAACCCCCACAGGTGTTTTTAATCGGTGTTTTGATGCTTTGTTTCCTGGCACTGGGACCCTGGGTTGCACAGTCTGTCTTGCTCCCCAATTTCACCTGGTTTATCTGTGCAAATATGGGACCGTGCAGCCAGCTGCCTTGCATGCAGGGCCTTGCTTCACAATTGCCACCTCGCTTGGTCTGCCCATTGCCAGCTGGTGCCCAGTCTGCCAGCCGCCACCTGCGTGCCCAGGACCCGCCCACTGCCGTCTCGCACGCCTGGGGTGCCTTGTACGACCGGGGCCACTGCTCTTTGTGCCTTGACCCCTCTCCGCCCGGCCACCCAACTCCACCCTGCCTACCAGTCTGGATGAATGTGTCTATATTATCTCCTTGGTTGTCCGACTTCCATACAGTTCAATTTTCTGTCAGCTCTGGTTGTTATTTTGTTTCTAAATTGTTGTTGTCCTTATTTTGGCTGTGCAAGGAGGCACAATGTGTCTACCTGCGCCTCCATCTTGGCCAGAAGGCAACCCAGGTGATTTCTGTCGAAGGTGAAAGGACAGGCTACAAACTGAATGGTATCCCCTTCACATGTTGAAGCACCGACCCCCAATGTGACTGTGTTTGGGCCAAGGATGAGGGAATTAAGGTGAACTGAGGTCCTAGGGGCAGGGGCCTGGCCCACAGGGCTGGTGTCCTCGGGAGAAAAGGCTGCACACGCTCGCCCTGTGCTCTGAGGGCAAAGGCCAGGTGGGGGTGGAGCGCAGGAAGGTGGCCGGGCCTCAGACGGAAACCTGCCTTCCTGGAACCCTGACCTTGGCCTCCAGCCTTCAGAACATGAGAAACGGGTTTCTGTGTTTAAGTGGCCTAGTGCTACAGCTAGTATTTCATTACAGCTGCCCAGGCTGAGTAAGGCAGTGAACATCCAGGCTTAAACAAGTAATTGGCACATAACTCAATTTCTCCAGCACCATCTGTTTTAAAAAATTCTTTTCTCCATTAAGTGTCTTTGCAACATCATTTAAAACCAGTCAACTCACACAAGGGTGAGCCCCTTCCTGGAGCCACCGCTGTCCCCCAATCTTGTCCCTAGCACTGAATGTCTCGGTCGACGCAGCTCTTTAAAAGTCTCTGATTCAGGCAGGTGAGTTTTCCAACTTCGTTCTTTTCAAATTGTTTTTGTTGCTCAACATCTTCTGCTCTTCTATGTACATTTTAGATTTAGTTTATAATTTCTACCCAAAAAGCCTGTTTTGATTTTGACTGTGCTAACATTAACTCTGTTGATCAGTAATAGAAGAACTTATACCATAACACCAAGTGTCCTGATGAGTGAACGCGACATACAGCTTCATTTGTTTAGTTCGATTCCTTTAGTTAATGTTTTGAAATTTGCAGCATACAAAAATTATACATATATTTTAGAGTTTCTGGCAATAAGGAAGATTTCATGTTTTGGGTGTGATTTTAATGGAACTTTGTTCCAACGTCAATTGTTAACTGATATCCTGTGACCTTGCTATACTCACATATTAGTTTTAGTAACATTTTTATGGCTTAAAACAATAAAAATATGTTGTCTCAGTTCTGGAGACCAGGAGCTCAAAGTGAAGGTCTCGGCAGAGCTGTGCGCCCTCCAGGAGGGACAACGAAGAGCCCTTCCTGGTCTCTTTTTAGCTTCTGGTGGTTCCCATAAATCCTTGGAATTCCTTGGCTAATAGTTGCCTCGGTTTTATTAGCATTTCATTCAGCTTTTTGGAATTTTCCTCATAGATAATCATGTCAATTGTGAATAGAGGGAGTTTTACTTTTTCCCTCCCAATATCTACACCTCATTTCTTTTTCTTGGCTTATTACACCAGCTAGGACTTCAAGTGCAACGCTGGACAAACATGGTGACAGCAGACATCCTTGGTGTGCTCTTGACCTTGGAAGAAAAGGAGTCAATCATTCTCTGTTAAGTATCCGTTAGTTGTAGGATTTTCACAGGTATCCTTTACCAGATTGAGATAGTTTCCCTGAATTTCTAGTTTATATAAAATTATTAAAATCATGTTTGTTTAATTTTGTCAAATGCTTTTTCTGCATCAATTGAGTTTTTTTATTTTCTGATGTATTACATTGTATTAATTGGTTTTTACATTTAAAACAAGCTTGAGTTGCTGGGACGAACCCTACTTCTGTCAAGTACTACTTTATAATGTGTGTGTGTGTGTGTGTGTGTGTGCACAACTGGACTCAGTTTGCTACAATTATGTTAAAGGTTTTTGTATCTGTGTTCATGAGAAATGTTGGTCTGTAATTTTTTTTCTACAAGGTCTGTCTGGAAAAAGTCCAGCCATTGTTAACACAACGAGAACAGTGTGTGCAACATCAGTGTAACGGGGCAGCCAAGGAGAGTGGACTGGGATGCACATGCGTGAACAATGACGACTTCACTGCACTAGTCAGTGGGGTGATAGATGCTGCTGAGTGAGCATGTGTGCTGTGTGGCCGTCACATTCAAAATGACTGTGCAAGTGGAGCAGTGAATCTGCACCAAATTTTGTATTAAGCTTGAACGTTCCTCTGCAGAAACTATTTCGATGATTCGGAAGGCCGCAGCTGTGGGCGACCGGTGACTGGCAGCTCCCGCTCATGCGTCACATCTCATGCAGAGTTTTCTGGGAAAACATCAAATCGCCCAGGTCACTCAGTCCCCCTACAGCCCAGATTTGATGCCCTGTGACTTCTACCTTTTCTCCAAACTGAAATTACCTTTGAGAGGGAGGAGATTTCAGATCTCTTTGATGAGTGAGGTTGATGAGATTCAGGGAAATACGATGGGGCAGCTGATGGCAATTGGGAAAACTGTGTGAGGTTCCACGGTGCCTACGTGGAAGGGGACTGAGGCGTCACTGTCCTGAAACAAGTGTTTCTTGTATCTTCTTCAGTACCTGCCTCTATTTTTCACAACCCATGGCCGGATACTTTCTGGACAGACCGAAGCTTTGTTCTGCTTTGACAGCAGACTAATGCTGGCCTTGTAAAATCAGCTGAGAAACGCCCCTGTGTTTCTTCTCTCTGGAGGAGCCTGTATGGAACTGGCGGTGTTCCCCCTCCTGTGAATGTCTGGCAGACGTCACCGAGGAGCTAACTGGGCCTGGGATGTTCTCTGTTGGAAGGTTTTTGACTGTGCAATCAATTTCTTTAATAAACACAGTGATACGCGTTGTACTTTCGTTCACCTTGGATGCACTGGACAGTCTGTGTCAGGACCTCTCCTATTTCCTTTGGGTCCCAGGCTTTGACGTCTAGTCGTTCGTAACATCTCCTCGTTACCCGTTCAGAGTTGGCAGGGTCCGCAGACATGTCTCCTCCTTCACTCTTAATGTTATTTTTATCTCCTTTTTGTCTTGATCCGTCCACATAGAGCTTTGTCAACTTTATGAGTCTGATTTTTAACTTGATGTTTCTGGCCATCAAACTGGAGGAGGGCTAAGGCGGCGAGAGCACAGCAGCCTGGACCAGGAGGCGCCGCGTGAGAAGGCAGAAAAGTGATCATACTCGGGATGTACTTTGAAGGCAGAGTCAGAAGTGATAAGAGGTCAGATATTGGTCAGAAATGGGGTAAAAAACAAAAGAGAAAATATGGCCAACATTTTCGTCCAAAGCCCCTGGAATCACACTTTGCACTGAGGGGCCAGGAAGACCTTGAGGACTCTCTGGAGATCAAGTTCAAGCAGGCGAGCTTTGGAAGCTCACTGGGCCTCCAAGTGCAGAGGGTAAACAGCCTGGGGGCGGAGATGGGGAATTCGGGAGGAGGCCCTGACTAGCCACATGGAACTGGGAGAGCAAACTGGAATTCACGGGGGCCGAGAGCCACGGGAATGGAAGAGATGGAAGCAAGAGACTGGGGGACCAGCAGAACCAGAGGAGACACAGAGGGGGCCAGAGAGGAGGGGGCAGGGCTGAGGAGACGCTGCAGACAGGTCTGTGTGGGGAGGGCTGAGGGGTGGAGGTCAAGGGCGCTCGGCGAGAGCAGTCCTGTGGTGCTGCGGCTGGGGCACACACCAGCCTCTCGGGAGCGGTTCGCCAGGAAGGGAGGGGGACAAACAGGGAAGGTGACAGGGAAGGGACACGTCAGAGCGCGCTCGCTCGTGCACTGACACACACAGAAAGGGGACAAGGCGAGACGCAGAGCAGGTGACGGGGACAGGACCTCGTGTGCAAGGCGGAGACTGGCCTGGACTCACCCGTCACAGGAGTCAGCTGAGCTCAAGGGTACAAGTGCAGGGAGGAGGGGGTGTGGGGGGCAGGGGCGGGGCAGGCCCCCCTCTGGTAACTCCGATGTTCCGTGTGAAGGGGAAACTGCGTCACACAGGGTGAGGGTGGGGAGCGGGCCCCAGAGCCTCGTCCCCTCTCCGACTCGGCACAAACCGTGGTCTTCTCGGCGAGCTCAGGAGAGGCCCCGGGGCGGCGCTGGGCCTGCCGGGGGGCGGGAGGAGCGCGGGCCGTGGGCTCAGGGCTGGGCCACGCTCCAGCTGCAACAGGCAGAGGCCTGGGTGACCTGGACCGGCCACTTCATTTCACTGCCCATCACGTGCAAGTGTCCTTGCGTGAAGAGAGAGCGCCGGCGTGCAGGACAGTTGTCAGGGGACAAACCAGCGCCCCGGCCAGACGGGCCCCTGTTCCCCTCCCTGCCCTCCACCTTGGGGGGCGGCTCGGCAGGGCTGTGCCTCAGCACCTCTGCCGCGAGGCCACTGTGCTCACCTGGAGCCAGCTTGATGTCCAGTGCGGTCCGGATGAGGGCCATCAGCGTGGATGTGAAGTGGACAGTCATGTCCTCATTGGAGATGGGCATGTTCATGCGAACCAGGCGCTGGGGACAAGGGGGGCAGGTCAGGCCCAGGCCTTCTGGGGGCCCCTGGAGGTGACCCCTGCAGGTGCCTGGGACAGAAGGTTGGACAGAGGGGAGCTTTGCCAGCATTCCCACTCGCCCCTGACCCTCCCCTACCCTCATTACTGAGCTGAGGGCTCTTGTGGCTACAGAAAAGCACAAGTCCAGGTAAGGACTTGCACCCTGGGGCCGGCTAGGAGCTCTAAATAGGCTTCCTCAGCTGAGGACCTCCCCACCCCCTGGCTATGGCAGGGTGGAGAGCACAGGGCCACGCCCGGGAGCAGGGACCTGGGCTGCACAGACAGGAGGGGAGAGACCTGTCCTGACTCCTCTGCCAACCCCATCCCTTCCAGCCACGGGCTGAAGCCTGGGCAAGGGCTGGGCGGCCGAGAGCGCAGCCTGGGCAGCAGCCCTCAGCCCCGGGAAGGCTCTGCTCTGCTCTCACTAGCCAGCCAGGGGCCTGGAAGAGAGACCAGGTCCAGGCGGGCAGACCCAGAATTGCTGGGACGGCGCGGGCCTTGGGCTCAGCCAGCTGCAGGGGTGGGGGTGGGGGCCGTCGGCAGGGACAGGTTCCGGTGGTTCTGCGGGAATACAAGTCCTCTAACCAGTGGGGGGCAGTGCCCCCGCAGGTGCGAAGACCCTTTCCCCTCCTCAGTCTCCAAGCACAGAGCAGTTGGGTCTGCGCCGCATACGGGGCCCGAGGCTTGGAGGACTAATGTACTCTCCAGGAGGCAAAGGGGCGCAGGTGTGTCTGCAGCGTCCTGAGCACGAAGGGACAGCACATCCCACCTGTCCTTTCCCAGCAGCCTCTTGGCCCTTCCACAGAGTGGGAGCCAGAGACGAGGGCACAGGCCCTCTGTGTCTGCTGACCTGCCACCTGGGCATCCTGCCCCCAGACGTAACCCTGAGCCTGACGGAGCACAGGCCTGCAGACATGGACCCAGATCCTGTCCCCGAATGCTGTCAAAGCCCCGCCTGGACGTCCGATCACGGTCCCAGGCCCTCACACAGCGCCCGTGTGGCGCACACCAGGAAGCCCGGCATTCCTGCAGACCCACTGGGTGGCAGTGGGAGAGGCAGGGGGGCTCCCCTCCAGGGGACTCAGGGATCAGGGAACCACAAAGGAGGAGCAAAGCAGGTGATTTCCAAGAGAGGAGGGCTCCGTCCAGGGCACCTTCCCCCAGAGGGCCTGGAAGCTCAGCGAGCAGTAGAGGACTGGACAGACAGACCTCCGTGCGCTGGGTCTAGACCCTCTTGGCCACATCACCCTGTGCATCTCCTGCCCCCTCCCCAGCTCGTCAAGCCCATCCACCCCCTCCATCCCGGCCTCTTCATGCCCGCAACCTTGGAGTTGGCCAGCACAGCTGGGGTGGGGTTCCAAGGTCACCATGGGCCCTGCAGCCCCCTGGCCCTGGTATCGGTGTGGACGGAGCTCTCCTTCTCGGGGACGAGGCTGTGGTGTTGCATGCGGGGCCTCCAAGAAGCCAGGTGCTCATGCCAGGCAGGGGTTGAGGGAGACACCAGAGGCTCCCACTCCACCCCCAAAGGCTGTGCTGGGCCAGGAGACAGACAGGATGCAAGCAGAGCTCAGAGACAGGCAGTGTGGACGGCACCAGAGAGACGGAAGCTCCGGCAGGGAGCTCACTCGGAGAGAGGGGGGCGGCAGGAAGGCTCCAGACCCATGCTGGCTGTTTGCTGGGGGTACGGGGCTGTGGGAGGGCTTTCGGGGGTGGGCGCTGCTGGACACCAGGGGGGACGGGACGCATGGGTGGGTGGGAGCAGGCTTGGGGCTGGGGCCACGTGAGGAGGGAAACGCGGAGGTGTCCCTCAGTTTACCCTCTTCCTGCAGCTCAGCGATGGGGGCGGGGGGCCAACACAGGGCCAGCTGGGCCCGAGGCCGCCCCCCCTGCAGTGACCCCTACAGGATGCCTCTCCTTGTCCTTCCCCTCAAGGCCACCGCGGGCTCACAAGGCCCTTCAGGTGTCCACTTCTGCCAGGCTGTGGCCGCCAGGCCTGGGGTGTGGCTGCCTTTCCCGCCTCAGACCCCTCCCTTCAGGGAGGCCCGAGGGTGGGACTGCGCCCAGAACAGAAGCCCCAGCCTCGAAGGCCGGCCTGCTCTCTCATTCCAGGGAGGAGAGGGAGGGACAAGGGCGGGGACACTCTGTCTCGTCTCCCTGAGCCTCCCGGGGCCGCCCTGGGGACAAGGGCTGGTGCAGAGACACCACCGCAGTGTCTGTGTCCCCCTGTCTGGGAAGAAAGCAGAGATGGCTGGGGCAGAGAGAAGAAACGAACAGTGAGACAGCGGAGTGGCAGACAGACAGACGGACAAGCCCTGACAGGCGATGGGAGGCCAGCCCCAGCACAGACAGCCTCTGGGGAGCAGGGCCAGGGTCTACCTTGTACGCCACTCGAGCAGGGCATTTCTTCCCCAGCCCCAGGGGCGGGGACATGTGTTTCAGCATCTCGAACATGTCACTGTACGTGATACGCCCGCTGGAGGCCCGGCCCAGGGAGGCAGAGGCAGAGGGTCCACGGGGCGGGGAGGGGAGTGGGGAGAGCGGGGGCGGGGGGGAAGCAGAAAAGAAAACAGATCCATTAGCCCGTGTCGGAGTGAATGCCAGAAGTGGGGTCACAAAAGTAGCGCCTCTCTGCTCCCGCACTCCAGCCCGCACCGCGGTGGGCGGGTGGCGTCAAGCTAATGAACATGAGGGGTGAGGAAGGGCGGCATCGGGGCGCCTCTGGGTTGCGAACGTCTGCTTCGCACCTTCAGAAACCACAGGGAGCATCGGATCAGAAAAGAGCCCCCTCCCGAGCGAGCGGGGAGCAGGGCGGCAGGGCTGTGGGAGCGGAGGCCGGCGGAGCCGCCAGGGACCCCGGGCTCCCCTTGGCGCTCGGGGTGCTTCCCAGTGAGCAGAACACAGAGGAAGGTCTGAAACGAGCAGGAAAATGAGCGGAGCTGCAGGGAGCCCGGGGCCCCAGACCCACTGGGCCAGGCACGTCCTGCTCCAAGCCCAGAGACGCCCGAGGCCGGCCCAGGGCAGGGCTGCTGCTGGGGGCAGGACTGGGCAGGTCACGGGGACTGCGGGTGGGCGTGGGGTGGGGGCCAGCACGAGGCTACGGCTCCAGGTTCGGGAGAGCGTCCGGTGGCCGGTGACCGCCTCTTCCCCAGGGAGACAGGCCTGAAGTCTCACCACCACCCATGGGACCAGCCTGTAGGACCTGTGTGGGGTCCCAGAGACACAGTCCTGTTCTGCTCACTGGGCCTGGCCCTCTGCCCACGGCTCCCGGCTTCAGCCTGCAGGTTCGTCCGGAGGGGGGGCAGGAGGGCCCTCCGCACCCCTAGGAACCAAAGACCCTGGGTTGTTGGGCTCTTGGGACCCAGAGGCGCAGCAGCTACTGGTCTGCTTGTGCCATGTGCTCTCTTCCGGTCCTTGGGCCTCCGGTTTCTCTGACCATCAGCCCACCCTCGAGAGCTGGAGGGTGGGTGGCGGGGAAGCCGGGGGAGACCTGGCCCCTGGCCCCCACCCAGCAGCCGGCCGTGGAGCTCACCGCCCAGCCCGAAAGCGCTGTGCGCCCCAAGTTGCAGGCTGTCTGTCCCTGCCAGCCGGAGGGTCAGGGAGGTTAGCCGGGGACCAGAGCGTCCGGGAGTATTAGTGCGGGGCAGGACAGGGCAGGGCGGGGCAGGGCGGGGCAGGGCGGGGCGGGAGGACAGAGGTGCGGCGTCCTCATTCCCAGACCAGGCGGGGAGTGTGTGCGGTGTCTGACTTCGGGCAGGGGGTATGTCAGATGGAGGCTCTGAAGTTGCAAACCTTGTAGGCCAACCTACGAGGGCACTTCTTCCCTAAGCCAACGGGCGGCGCAATACAACGCAACAAACTGTACATATCCTTATAATGAATCCGGCAACTGGAAAGGAAACGTCACAAGTTACGCAACCGAGGCTCGGGTGCCTGTCCTGCCGTCCGCCCTACCTGCCGGGTGCCGGACAGGCAGCTCCCTGGTGGGGTCTGGGGCGGGGAGCCACCGGAGCAGGGCCGGGAGCAGTCCGAGGGCTCTGCACGCACATGACCAGCCCCACCCCGCCTGGTGGCGCTCGCTGGCCCCTGGCAGTGAGCTCTCTGAAACCCGGGGGGCTCTCCAGACAGTTCCCGCCTCCCTGAGCAAGAGCCCTCCCTGGAACTCGGGGTCTTACAACGGACCCCCTCGCCCCAGGGTTGGCTTCTCTCCCTGCACCACGTCCTCTCCGTCCGATCAGCTATCAGTGTGAGACCTCACTTCTGGAACCAGGTGGAAAGAGCAGGACTCACCTGGCCTCGCCCCAAGTCATGCCAACATCGCGGGACCAGGGGGAGCGGCCCCCATCTCCAGTTCCGGCCTCACCTCTCCGCTGCCGCCAAACCCCTCAGGTACCTCCACATCAAAACTGTGGGCCCGACGCTGTCACTTGTACTAAAACACTGTCCCTGTGGTCTATGAAACAAGGTCACTTTCAAGGTCTCTCTCCACCTGTCCCAGCTGCCTTTCGCTAGTCTCTCCCTTCGGCCAGAGGCGCTCAGCTTCTACCACCTGCACCCGCAGCTCCTGGTCTCCATCCACCTGCCCAGCAACCTGCCGCCGTCACCGGGGTCAGACCCCACCTGCTGCAACTCACCCCCTCAGACACACCCTGGCCTCACAGGGGGCTCCTCTCTCTACAGAGACCTCGTGGGCCAGGCCCCGGCACGCCTGATGCCCGGCACACTCCCTGCACAGGCGGACGTGCGTCAGGACAAGCTGACGTCGCTCACAGAGGGCACGGCTGGGGTGCCGCTTTGAGTCCACACTCACCACAAAGCACCAAGGCAACTGGGGTGGGGACAGAAAGCAAGGCCTCCAAGCCTCCTCCTGTCCCCCAGCACAGACATGTGCACACAGGCACACCGCCAACACACAGCACACACATGCAGCCACATGCATGCACACATGTGTAGTTGTGTGCAGATTTACACAGCCACACAGGTGAACACACACACACACACACACACATGCACAGAAACTCCGCAAGTCCTGCCGCTATTTCAGAATCTCCCCAAGAAGGAGGACCCAGCAGAGCGACCCCTGGGGGCCGAAGGGGACCACACCCTGGCATCTCTCACAGAGGCCAGGGAGCCTCCAAGCACCACCCACCCTCTGCCGCACCTTCCCCCCCAGTGTCTGAAGCTGCCTGTGTTTCCAGCCCTGGCCCCGTGGGAGCAGTGAGGTGGGTGGGAGCTGTGGTCGCACCTCTGCTTCGGGTGGGCCACTCTGTGCCGGGGCTTCCACTGGGCTGCCTGCTTCCCCACTGGCACTTCCCTGTCCCTGTCCCTGACGGCTGTGCCCTCCCAGGGCCCGGCTGGGAGCTCTGTGCATGAGCGCCAGCCAGTCTGGCCAGGGTCGCGTCCTGGGCATCCTGCTCTGCTCCACCTGCGCTGCCCGGGGGTCCCAGGCTTGCAGTTCACACCAGTTGGAAAGCGTCCTCTCTCCACAGGCCTGCACCCACCTGCCTTCGCCCGCTGGCCCAAGTGCCGTCCCAAACAATCTGTTTTCCTGAAGCACAGCCCCCTCCAGAGGAAATGTGCCAAGAGACAGCGGTGTCCCTGGGGCAGTGTCGGGGACAGTCTCCTCCTGCCGGCGCCACAGTCTGGGCGCCAGGCCTGAGTGCGGCCACCCTGCCCTCCAACCCCACGGCCCTCCTGACCAGAGGACCTGCGATGGCCCCTCAGCCAGGACAACAGGCCACCCTGGGCCGTGGACTCGGCCTCGTGCACCCAAACACTCGGCTCCAGGCTGTGCCTGTGTCCCACTGGGTGAGAACCGTAGGGCTCTCACCGCAACGGGGAGCACCCTGAGGTGCTGCCGGGGCCTCCAGGGGAGGGCTGAGGGGAGAGGGCCTCACCCGGCACCTGTGGGAAGTTGGCTGGAGAGGGGGTGCAGGGGCTGGGGGTCGGAAGGCCCCGAGCGCCCTCTACCTGTGGGGCTTCCACTCAGAGGAAGACGGGTAGAGCCCCAGCGCTCGCTCACCACAGGGGCGTGAGCCCTGCCGCAGGCCTGCGCCACGCAGGGGCCACTGGAGGACAGGGCCGGACCCAGGTGCAGGCCCGTCCGCACCTGGGAGCCGAGTGTCTCGGCACCTCCCTGCCTTCACTCTACTCCAGCTCCATCCGGACGGATGAGCATGTGAAGGCACAGGTGACTGAGTGACAACGCACACACAGGTGGGCCCCAAATGCGAGTGTGCCGTGGGCGTGCGGGACTCTCCCAGGACAGGTGGTCTCAAACCAGCGTGACCCCAAACCACCTTCATGAGATCCTCGCTCTTCTTGGAAATGAACCCCCTCACTCACACGACAGACACAGTCTTTCCGCCACACCGGACACACACGACACCCTCCTGGCAGCTCATCCCGTCTCAGGAAAAGCTCACCAAGGGCCCACTATTTGCATCCTGAGCCGTGGACACAGAGGGGCACATGGATCCCCTCCCGGAGAGAGAGCAGCGCACGTGCACCCACTGGGAGACCGCCCGGGGCCCGCAGCGGTCTCTGAGCTCCGGGGGGACGGGGAGGCCGAGGAGATGGCCCCCGGCTGTCTCCAGGACCCTCATGTGACGGGCCAACCAGGAAGGGCCCCGAGCCTCACAAATGCCCTCAAAATGTTTCGAGACCCCCAAGTAACATCCTAAGGGCTGGACTGAGGATTCAAAAAGAAGTGCTGAGTGTGGGAAGCTTCTAGAGGTGCAGGGAGGGTGAGAAGGGAGCAGTGCCCAGGAGGGAGACAGAGCACCGTCCCACAGGGAGTGGGGACCCTGGGCCCCAGGCCCTCGGAGCGGGCACCTCACTCACCACGCAGCCGGATCGTACTCAGCCCAGACCCTGACGAACTCGTCCAGGTGGTGAGGCCCTAGGATGGAAGAGTCCCGCGTAAGGTACTCAAAATTGTCCATGATCACGGCCACAAAGAGGTTCAACATCTGCGGGACAGGAAGGAGAAGAGGTGACACACAGGGAGAGACCTCAGCCTGCCCTCCCGGCAACCCTGGCCCTCCAGCCTAGCTCTCCAGCCGAAGTCTGTGGGGAAGATCAAGGGGGCAGAGGTCAACGGACTGAGCCGAGCCTGTCCAGACCTGTGTCCCCGCAGCCTGGGCCCTCCGCTCCTCCCCCACCAGCCCCACTGCTCCTCCCTTACAGCCGCCAGGCCAAACCGGCAGCCGCAGAGGTCTAGCGTCAACCACAGTGAACCTCCGAAGGCTTTCGCTCTCGACTCTACAGCCCCGTCTGAATCAGGCCCCTCATCTCCTGACCACGGTCCATGCTGCCGCCAGGTCCCCCGCCACCACCGCCCCACCATCCCCTTTCTCTCCTCTGAGCGAGCCTTCCAGGGCGGCAGTGCCGCCGCCCGATCAATGGTTTGCTCCGGGGGCGGGGGGGGGGCCCAGTTTGCAGTGCGGAGTCAGCAGGGCACCCACCACGCCCCCCCACGCCTCCCGCAGCCCCTCCCCCTCCCATCGGGAACCCGCCGGGCGCCTTCCGTGTCTGCGCAGTTGTGTGTTCGGACGGTGCCTATGGGAGGAGCCAGTCGGACGCTATGCCCTGCTGGGTCCAGCTTCTGCGCGCTGCGTGGTTTCTGAGAGTCTCTCACGTGGGAGGCAGTGCGAGTGGGAGGCCGGCGGTGTCCCCTTGCAGGCAGAGGCCACGGCGCGCCTCTCCGTTCATCCTCTGACGACGCTGGCTCGTTGCCACCTCTTGCTCTCAGGGCTCCTGCTGCTGGGAGGGTCCCGTCCAAGTCCGTGTCCACACTGCTGGGCCGTGTGGTGCATCTGTGCTTAACTCGGGGGGAAATTCTAAACCGTCCTTTCAGAGACGCCCCTGCTGTTTTACATTCCTGCCTGGAAACGCACGAGATCCTATTGTCCATGTTCTTGCCACCCTAGTTATTTCCCATTAAAAAACCATTATTATCGCGACCCAGTGGCCGCGAGCAGCATCTCACTGCGGCTTTGACCTGCATTTCCTGCGCACAGATGTGGGGCGTCTTCACGCTCAGTGGCCCTGGTATTTTCTCTCTGGAAAGAGGGCTGTTCTGATTCTCTGCCCATTTTTATACAGTTGCTCGCCTTTTTGTTGTTGAGGTCCTGGGTTCTTTACATGTTCTGGATGTGAACCCCCTCTAACATACATGATGGGTAAAAACATTCTCTCCTAGTCCTTAGGGACTGTTCTTCACATCATTGGCAACGTATTTTGATGCAAAAGAGTTTTTAATTTTGAGTAGTTTACCTTGTTTGTTTCATGTTGCTCGTGATTTCGGTGAGTCTGAGGTCTAGAGTGAGGTGAGCACCCACTTCCCTGCTTTGCACACGGAGGACACTGATCAGCTATCGCTCACCGCTGGTGGAGGAAACCAGCAGGCCCGCCCAGAGGAACCGCGGCACCCTGGGCGAAAACGTCCCTGCGGCCACGCTGCTTTGACTGCAGGGGATTTGTGCTAAGTGTCCGGGAAATGTGCAAGTTCTAACTTTGTTTTTCTTCTTCAAGATTGTGTTGGCCATTTGGGCTCCTTGAAACTCCGTATGAATTTGAGGACAGGCATTTCCAGTTCTGCCAGAAGAAAACCGCTGGGACCCTGACAGGGGTGGGGGAGGGTGCGGCACCTGCCAGCTGCTGTGGGGCACTGTCACCCTCTGACTCACGGACAGGGACATCTGTCCACTCGGTCAGGTTTCCTTGCCGTGCTCTTGGCAACAGTGGCAGTTTTTAATATGCGAGTCTCTCACCTCCACGGGATCATTTATTTCTACACATTTTATTCCTGTGGATACGAATGGTAGTAGGTTTATTTCTCGACTTCCTTTTCAGATTGCTCGCTGCCGGTGTGCAGAAACACACTGATCGTCATGTACCCCTTCTGTGCCTGGAACGTCGGCGAACTCCTTTCTTGGCAATAGCCGCGCTCTGGTCAGAGCGTGGGCGCGCACTTCGGGATTTTCTGCGTGTGCAGCAATGTCATCTGCAAGTCCTTCCGCTCGGATGCCTGTCATGTCGTCTTTGGCGTAAGCTGGTATCTTTCACCATGAACTATGAGGTCCGCTGTGCATTTTCACAAAAGCTCTTTATCGTGTCCAGGAAGTCCCCTCCTTCTTGTTGGTTCACTGTTTTCACCATGAACGTGTGTTTAATTTTGTCAAGTGCTGTGTCCGCATCTATTGCGATGACCGTGTGGGTTTTTCCTCACTAGTGGGGTTTATCAGGTCGGTTGCCTTTCGGGTGGTGCTCTGTCCCTGCATCCCTGAGAGGGTCCCCAGGTCACGGCGTGTGACCCTCTGCACTGATGGAGTCAGGTCTCGGCGTCCCGTTCGGGACAGTCCCACCTACATTCATGCAGGACGTGCACAGTTTCCTCCTCCGGTCGTGTCCTTGTCTGGTTTTGTGACAAGAGGGTACTGACTTCGCAGAATGAGCCCAGGAGAGTTTCCTCCTCCCCCGGTTCTGTCGGAAGAGTGTGCAGGAGACCGGTGCCGACTCCTCCTTTACTGTCAGGTGGGGTTCCCCAGTGATACGTCCCATCCTGGACCTCATGTTTAGAGGGTGTTTTTCATTATCGATTCAAGCTCATTACTTGTTACATGTCTACTTGGATTTTCTGATTTTTTAAAAAAATTTTATTTATTTATCTTTGGCAGAGAAGGAAAGGAGAGAGGGAGAGAAATGTCAATGTATGGTTGCTTCTTGTGTGTCCCCTGCTGGGAACTGGCCTGCAACCCAGATATGTGCCCTGGCTGGGAATCAAACCGCAATCCTCTGGTTTGAAGGCCCAAGCTCAATCCACTGAGCTACATCAGCCAGGGTGATTTTCTGATTCTTCTTGACTCAGTTACGGGGATTTGTGTCCTAGGAATTTGTTCATTGCAATAGCTGGGTCCCACACGCAGGCCAACCACGGCGTTTAGCGCCTCCGAGCGCCCGGTTTGTCATGGTGACATCAACCCCCGGCTCCTTGTCTACAGGAGCCCGTGGGACTCAGCATGGCGTCTAGGTCAGCAGCTGTGAGCAGCTGTTCTGCTCTCCTCTGCTCAGATCTGGGTGGCTGGACCCCAACCTAGCCCGGTCCTGCCAGACACCCCCAAATCACAATGCCATTTTTCCCGCCGTCACTTCTCTGTCAGACCAAACCAGACCTGAGGGAGTCTGGGCACGAGTCGCCCAACGGACTGACAGCCAACAGCAGGGGCCAGGAGGACTGCTTCCAGCCTGTTCCCCTCTCTGCTTCGGGTGACCAAAAGGCCCACGGGACAGCGGCCACCAAACGCCCACTTCCATGGGGAAGAGTGACAACAGAATCCAGGGGACCCCCCAACTCACCCTGAGCCCGTGCAGGGAGTGTGGGCTTTGTGGGTGGCGACTCGTTGCAAGTCTGGCCTCTGCGGGGCCCGCAGCCGGGAGCCTGGGGAGGCCAGGCCCATGTGCTCAACTCTGCAGCCAGGGCTCCTACAGCACCCGGTGTCTCAGCAGGGCGTGGAGACCAAAGCACCCACTACCCACCAGGCAGAGGCTCCAGAAAGCCTGCCCTCCCTGCTGCCCACGAAAGGTCTTCTGAGGCCTGCCCAGTGTGGCCCAGTTGGTGGAGTGTCATCCTGCAGAGTGAAAGGTCGCAGGTTCGATTCCCAGTCAGGGCACATGCCTCGGTTGCAGGTTCAGTCCCCCCTAGGGATGCGTATGAGAGGCAACATATTGATGTTTCTCTCCCTCCCTTCTCCTCTCTCTAAAATCAATAAGCATGTTCTTGGGTGAGGATTAAATAAAAGTCTTCTTAGGGATCAGAGGGAGGGTGACCTCAACGTGCACTTTCTATGCTTGGTTTTTGGCGGTTAGCGAAACAGTTTTGTAGACTTTTCTGTTTCCTTGGTCAACACGCAAGCTCCTCTGTCCCAGACACACACCGGTGCCAACCGCCCCCCCTTTGTGGCACCTTCAGGGCTCAGCCCACCCTCAGCCGGAGCCCTCGCGTCTTCATCCTGGGTGTTCTCTTCCTGCTGTAGCTGCGACGAGGAAGCCCCCTCCCCGCCATCCTCGAGAAAACGCACCCCTGCTCTTCCATGTGCACAACCTACACCCCCCTCTCGGGGGAGCTCTGGTGCCTGGGGCGCTTTTCCAGATGAAACGTGACTCTCACTGTCCCTGTGGATGTCAGTGAGACAGACAGCAGCCCCGGCCCGGCCGCTCTCCTCCTTGCCCACCGTCATCTCAGCTGCGTATCCTGTTGACTGAAGGCTAAACTCGGCCCTTACCAGAGGTACCACTGCTGGCTGCACAGTCCTAACTCGGGCTGTCCCTCTCCTGGCCCGTGTCACCTACCCTTCCGGCTCACTTCCCCTGACACTGGTGCTCCGCGTGAGGCCCTCGGTCCAGGGGCCTGCGCCCCCACCTTAGTCCCTTCCCTCTGCCCCCAGCTTTGCTCCTGGATCCAGTACTGAAACCCTTCGCACGACCCTCCTCTCCCTCCGCAGACTGGCCTGGGAGACCCCGACTCTGGACCACACCCTTCTCCTCCAACAGCACCAAGGAGTGAGTGGGGCTGGTCCTGCTCAGCCACAGGCACAGACGTGCTGTATCGGCTCCTGCCGCGCTGCCGGGGCCCGGCCTCGCCGACGCCTGACTCCTGACAGTCGCGGTGGCCTCCACCTTCCCTCATGCGGCGGGCACCTCTCAGCCGGCCTCATCTTCCTTAAGTGCCCGACAGCCTTTCCTGTCGACATCTCCTCCCTCGGCCTTGGGGCGCTGCCCCCTGGTTCTCCACCGGCCTCCCCGACAGCTTCTCCACCTCTGGCCGGTGTTCCTCCCCGTCCTCAGCTTCTCAAGTCGCACTCCGCCCGGACGTCTCAGAGTCAAGCGTGCACAGAATCACGTGTGAAGTGTGTTGAGACCCAGACCCACGGGTCCCTCTCCTGGAGACCCTGACGCAGGGAGTCTGGGAGGCCCCGGAGCCTGCATTCTGCGGGTGCTTGGGCGCTGCTTCAGCCGCGGGCCTCTGGACCGCAGTCTGGGCGCGAGGGGCCGGGGAAACACCATCTGGCCCCACAGACGCACCAAACACCACTGAGGACACGCTGACACCTGCGGCCCAGAGGTCTGCACGGCGCCCCCGGTGCCTCCCTCCCCAGTCCCACCCCTGCCGCTCCTGTGCTCCCACTCACCCAGGAAACCTTAGGACACAGCGGTCCCTCCGTCTTCAGACTGTGGCTTGGCGGCCCTGACACGCTCCCGCTACCCTGCTCTAGGCCACGGCCACCACCCGCCCCTGCTCCCTCTGTGCTTCCCTGACCAGGAGCAGCTGCGGGGCAAGGCCTGACAGGGCGGGCAGACCGTGTCCCACCCTGCTCACGTGCCCCAGAGCCTCCCGATGGCCTGGAACGAAACCCAGTCTGTTGCCAGCCCAGCGACCTCTCCAACCAACTCCCACGAGCTCCGCACGGCTCAGCCCCCACACACAGGCCGCGCCTAACGCCCATGGCGCAGCAGCCGTGGCAGGGCTCCGTGGCGCTCACTGCTGGGTGGGGTCATGTCTGAAGAATCAGCTCGCAGTGGGACACAGGTCACAAAGTGGGGCCCTGAGAAGGACCGAGATGGGACACAGGCCAGGCGGGCATCCTGGCGAACTCACCAGGAAGGAGCAGAGGAAGATGAAGGACACGAAGTAGAAGTAGGCGAAGTCGCTGCCGCACTCGGTGGCATTGGCGTGCTCGTCACAGGCCTGGTTGCTGAGACAAGACAGCATGATCTCGTGCCAGGCCTCGCCGGTGGCGCTCCTGAGGGGAGGGGCGTGGTGAGGCCTGGGTGCCCGCCCACAGAGAACCCCCGCCGAGGGGTCTGGGTGACAGGCAGCACCTTCCAGAACAGAGCCCACGGGCATTCCCGGCGGCACCGCAGGGCCTTCTTGGCCCCCAGACCCCCCCCAGGCCAGTGCAGCCCCGCCCGCCGTCACCGGCCTCCTGTCTCTCCCTTTCACCACGTCCCGTCCCTCCGTCAGCCCATCTCCCTGCGGGAAACAGACCTCCGTGCTTCCCGCCCCCCGGGCTCAGCAGCAACCGCCCCCCCGCAGCCTGCAGGTCCACAAGAAACAGGCCGCATCTCGCCACTCATGGCAGAAGCCAAAACCATGTGACTGCCCACAGCCCCAAGGGGGCTGCTGCCTGCCCTTCCTGACCCCGAAGACTGTCCTGCTCAGTCTGCACCGGCCGCACCGGCCGCACCGGCCTCCACTGCTCCCTGGACTCACCTGAACCCCCCCTGCACCGCCACCTGAAGGGCCCTCCAAGGCAACCGGCCACAGAGGCCAGGTGCGCGCTGGGGCCGCAGGCAGGCCAGAGGCTTGGGTCCCCTCTGTGCACCCTTGTGTCCCGCCCTGGGCGGAAGCGGGGCCCGGAGCCCACTGATGGCGACCGGGGACGAGGGGCCTTCTGCGGGGAAGTGGGGCAGCCCGTGCCATGCCTGATGGGCGAGGGTGCGCACGTGTGACATGAAGACCGGGGGGAAGAAGGACCTTCAAGAGCGGAAGCGCAGGCCCCCACCCAAGGCCCCCACCTCAGACCTTCTGTGGCGTGAGGAGCGATATTAGTGACTGAGAAATAGAACTAATGGCCCAGCCGACATTCAGAGGAAAGACGTCATGCGGGGCAAGTGCAGGCCTCGGGGGGCTCCCTCCTCCGAAACAGAGATGGAGGTCAGAGGACTCCCCACACAGCGCAGTCCACCCACCGGGGTCCGAGGTTGCCCCCGCCCAGGTTAGAACCAGAGCCGGTCCCCAGGGCAGCCCTGCGGCAGGCCCAGCTCACACACCCTCAGGCAGGGGGTCAGGGTCTGCCGTCCCTCCGCCCCCGCTCGTCCTTCCTCTTCATCACGGGGTGGGGGACACTCTGGAGACGGCGGGGAAACAGGCCCCGCCCCCGTGCCCCTCCTCTGTTCTCAGACCAGAACGTCAACAGCCCCCGGCCTCCGAAAAGCCCGAGAATGGCTGGGCCGGGGGTGCTGAGCACACCTTCCTGGGAGGCCTGAGCCCGAAACAAGCCCCGTGCCCCTTGGGGCTCCGGCAGGGGGCTGGGCTGCCCCCCAGAGCCCAAAGCACAGCAGCTCCTGTGAGCAACGGAGGCGGGCGGAGATGCCCTCCACCAGCAGTTCCCGCCCACTGGGGCCTTGGGTCACTGAGCTCTACCCTGTGTCACGGGTGGCTCCCTGCTGCCCGGCTTCTCCCTGAGCCCACAGGTCCCTACACTCAGGAGGGCTGAGCCCAGCACACAACACAAGGCCCTGCTGGGCATCTCTGTTGTCCCAGACTTTCGCGGCGGCAGCTTCGCAGGCGGCCTCTCGGCTGCAGCCCAGAGCAGCAGCGCGGTGGGGAGGTGCCCCTGGCCCAGGCCCCCAGGTGACCTGCCTGCGGGGTGTCCCCTGCTCAGGAGCCCTTAGGAGCAGACGGCAGAACAAGGTGACCTCCCACACAACACACCTGAACAGCAGCATCAAGGCTTGTAGAAACGTCCGGAAGTTGTTGTGCCTGTTGATGCTGGAGTCGTCGTCCAGAGCGATGTTCCCGAAAACCTGAAACAGGGGTGCAGGCTGCAGGCCGGCCCACCGCCCCTGGAGTCGGGACCAGGCACAGCGGGCATGTGTGGGACCCAGACGGGAGCTGCCCGGCAGACTGCCCCTGGGTCGGGGCAGGGCCCAGAGGAAGCCTCCTTCAGGCCAGGTGAACTCCAGGAGGGAGACCAGAGGCAGGCAGACGGCCTCGGGCGGCACCTAGGCCTGTCCTGGCTGCAGCTCTGGTAGGTCGTTGCAACGCTTTTTTCTAAATTCCTGGGTGAATACCACCGTGGGCTTTTTATACATTTCAATTTATTGTTTTTCAAGGTGAGAAATGCGGATGTGTCAATAAACTTTCTCAGCTTAAAATCTGGAATCTAGAGCCCTGGCTTGTGTGGCTCAGTGGACTGAGCACAGGCCTGTGAAACAAAGGGTCACCAGTTTGATTCCCAGTCAGGGCACACGCCTGGGTTGCAGGCCAGGTCCCCAGTAGGGGGCGTGCGAGAGGCAACCACACAGTGATGTTTCTCTCCCTCTCTTTCCCCTTCCCTTCCCCTCTCTCTAAAAATAAATAAATAAAATCTAATTTTAAAAGCCTGGAATCTAGCTGGAAAATTTATGAACCGTCACAATCTATAGGAAGCAAACCCCGACTTTGTTTCTGCAAAGCCGGCCCACGGCAGGAACAGCGTGCCTGTCTCACAGGGTGTCAGGCTGGGCCCCTGGGAAGCAGGACGACTTTTCAGTCCCAGACGGACTTTCAACTCCTGTGCTCAGCTCAGCTCTAACACGCCGCCCTCCCTCCACGGGAAGCGGCCAGATGACCGAGGTTTGTAACAGGGACGCTGCTCACATCCTTTCCATTTTCCCAAATAACAGACGCAGTGTTCTCTGGCCACGTGAGGAGAGACCACACTGTGCAAGGTAGACATGACACACGCCAGGAAGGGATCTAACCCTGCGGACTTCGGCCACACGTCCCCACAGAGGAGTGGAGGGCTGGCCCTCAGAACTGCTGCTGGACCAGGACAGTGACCAGCCGCTGCTCCCCCAGCTGAGCTCGGACGCCCAACACCACGGGGCCCAGCGGCCCCTCTACCGTGTGCTTGGGACACCCCAGGGAGCAGGTGCTCCTTATCCGCAGAACGGTCTCTCTCAGGGTCGGGTTCCCCAGGTGCTCACGTGGCGCCTGCTCACAGAAGTGTCGGCTACGTGCCGTCCACTCCCCCAAGGCCGTGGCCTGGCCCCCCTGCGGCCCCGTGGGCGTGCGCACCTGCATGCCGATGATGGCGTAGATGAAGAACAGCATGGCGATCAGCAGGCACACGTAAGGCAGGGCCTGTGGGGCGCGGGGAGGGTGTCAGCCCCAGGTCTGCTGCGGATGGCGGACGGGCCGACCCCAGACCCATCCTACTGGCCAAGCCCCTCCCCCAGGCGACTGCCCGCTTGCCGTCTCCACAAACGGGGCCGGGAGGGCAGCTGCTGAGGGGCGAGCGGGCCGGCCCGGCCTCACCTTGAAGGACTGCACGAAGGTCCAGAGCAGGATGCGGATGGTGTAGCCCTGGCGCAGCAGCTTGACGAGCCGGGCGGCGCGGAAGAGGCGCAGGAAGCTGAGGTTGATGAAGTTGTTCTGCGGAGAGAAGGCCGTTCTCTGACCTTCCAAAGCCAGCCTCTGGCTCACCAGCGGCAGCCCAGCTGCTCCCCGCCCACCCTCTCCAGCTCCCCGGTGGTCCCAGAAGAAGGTGGGTGGGGAGAGAGATTAAAACAAGGTCACCGCTTTGGTCTGAGCAGCTGTCAGCCACGAGAAACCCTTCTGTGCAGCACGTCTCGCAAACCCGTTCTCATGCAGCAGCAGGTCAGTGACCAAGCCCACCCGCGGGGGTCGGGGGGCAGAGAGGTCTCCCACGCGGCTCCCTGCTGCCAGGTGGGGCTGCTGTCACCTGCGTGGGACACCGCCTGCAGTCCGGTGCTGGGCGGGGCTGCTTCTTCCAGGAGCTGCCCTACATGGTGGCCTCACCCCGCCCTTCCCCACGCAGCCAGTGAAGCCCCTGCCCCCGGGACCCCGCAGGGGCAAACAGGTGCTCTGGGGCCTCTCCCATCCCTCGTAGACGGGCCGCCTAGCAGGTGAGTGCCCAGGTCCTGCTGCTCACGCCACGGAAGCCACCTCGAGATCCAGACAGGTGTCTGCTCCGGATGACCCGGGACACCTTCCACTGCTCCCTCCTCCAAGGGGTTTGAAATCCACAAAAACAGACCAGCACCCTCTGGCCTCCACAGAGGACCTGGGACTGAGGCCCCACCTGGCCGGGAACTGAATCGTCAGTGCTTCCCCTCAGAGCCAGGCCTGGGCAGTGTCCCTGAGGAGTTGGGGTGCGTGTGGACCAGGCAGCTTCCCAGCCCCGAACCTGGGGCCACGCAGCCCAGAGGAGGGCAGCTTCCTGCCACCGTGCGACCCCAGAGGATGGGCGGCGTGGGCTCAGACAGGCTGTGCCGCCAGATTCGGGGTGAAAGAGGGCGGCACACAGAGGCTGATGGCGGCAGCGTGCGGCTGGGCCTCGCTCCAGGGCTGCCTGTCTGGTTCTGGTGGCCACCGGTGCGGATGGGAGTGGCCCTCTGGCCCCGTCCTGCACCTTGTCTGCTACTTCCCTGGGGCGTATGCACCCTCAGGGGCTGACCTCTCGGTTCCCAGCGGTTGGCAGGGCCTCTGCTGGGGAGGGACCTGGGGCTGCACACACACGGCCCAGGAGAGGATGGGTTTGGACAGTGACATAAAATGGGGGGGCTCGACGGGCAGCCGACTGTGGTCCAGGCTACCGAGAAGCAGAAGGGGACCCCCAGTAGGACCCAGGGGTGCGGGCTGCCCACGGCCCCCCACTTGCTCGTGCCGGGGAGGGAGCCCCGAGGGTGCATGACAGCCAGGAGACGCCTCGCCCCACCTGCGGCCCAGGACCCTGAGGACTCTCGACGGGCTGGTCTCCTCAGGAGGATGGCACAGGGCCACTGCGCACGGGGCAGGACGACACAGCCCGTTGAGGGGCAGCCGAGTGCCTGCGGCCAGAAGGTGCTAACAGTCAGCACTTGCTGGCTCTGAGCAGTCTGCTCAGGCAGCAGGCAGACTTCCAGAAGGTTCTGGGGCAGAGCCAACTCTAGAGTGAGAAGGCAGGGGCTTGTCCATCTTGTTAGCTCCCACCCTGGCCCAGGCTTCTTTCCTGGGACCCAGGGGGTACTCAGGAGAGCGGTGGGGGCGGCAGCAGACAGACAGCCCTGGACGGATGGTGAGAGCACACGGACGCTCCGAGTGCAGCGTGAGAGGCGGCGGCTGCATGCAGGGCGGGGCAGCACGACGCAGCCTCCCCAGGGCCGCGCACGGTCTCCTCCGGCCTCGGCCCCACCCCTGGAGGTGGACACAGCTGCCCTGCCCCCCAGAGTCCATGGCTTCTGTAGCACCTGGGAGCAGCTGCACCTACTTCAAAGCCAGGGTCTGGCTTATTGCGCCCGCCCGAGTCGGCAAAGGCCTGGAGAACCACGGGGCGCCTCTTTGCCCCCTCAGGTGGATGGGCCACACAGAGGTCCCCTGCCCGGGTGGGGAGGGGTCACTGAAAATGGGACCTGCCAGCCTGCTGGGCTGTGAAACACCCCACGAGGTGATGGCCTGACTCTAGGCCCCCACAGCCCAGCACGTCACTGCTTCTGGTCAAGGCCACAGCCAAGCGGGGCCCCGAGACCTGAGCAGGTGTGCTGGGGCCAGGTCAGCGATGTGTGGCGGCCCCGCTCCTGCTCGGTCACCCTCATGGGGGCTGACAAGGAAGGAGACTCTGTGCCCGTCACCACACGGGGGGCGCTGAGTGACACGCATCGGAGCCTGGGGAGCGCCAGCTGTCATCTCTCCAAACTGATTTTCCACCCAGCTGGGACGCACTTTCCCAGAAACGTGAACCTATGTCACATGACTCTGCAGATGCTGCCTGGGTGCCGTCCGCCCCCCAGCCCGGCCTCCTCTGGACATTCCTGAAGGACCTGGCAGCGGCCCAAGGTCCCCCCCCCGGCCCCCTAGCTCGGTGCACACACGCTAACCCGAGGCGCCTGGGTGGTGAGCCCCAAGCTCTGCGGCGTCCAGGGACAGGCCCTCCTCCTCCTCCTCAGCCAGGCCTTACATGCCCTCCGGACTCAGGGACACAGGCCACGGTCCCCAGCCCTGGCCCCAGACTGACCCCATATGGGAGGGGCTGCAGGAAGGAGGCCAGGGAGACTTGGTCAGAGGCCGCTGGGCAGAGAGAACCTGGGCGTCCACCAGTGGAGCCGGCAACAGAAACCACGGACTCTGTGGGGAGCAGGCCCAGACTCGTGTTCTGTGAAACCTCCCCCGCTCCGAGCCGACCCCAGCAGGAAAGCCTGCACCAGCTTGGAAGCCCCTGGGGACCGTGCAGGTGGCCGGGGTGAGTGAGGCCAGGCTCTGACCACAGGCCCAGGTGGGCCCGGGCGAGGACTCTCGGGACACAGCCAGGCAGCGCAAGCGAAGCGAGGAGACTGAAGAACCGTTAGGAGACCAACCATTTCCTACGTGTGATGTTTTCATGGATGGATGTTTGAGCGTTATTGACAGATGGGGCGTTCGGGCAGCAGGCGAGACATGCAGACGGAGACAGGTGTTCGCGGTGCGTGGTGGTGGGTGGCGTGAGTCAGCAGGGAGGTGAGGGAGGGTCAGGAACAGAAAACAGAAAACAAGGAGAAAATGAGTCATCAACACAAGCCAAACCGAAACTCTGAATACTTCACTGGAAAACTGCAGCATTTTGGTAAAAACTGGGTATTTCCCTTAAAATGCACCAAAGCAGTGCTTTGGAGTCTGCAGGTTCTGCGGACAGAGGTGCTCATTTGCATTCCTGTTTGCAATGCAAATTCAGAGTGAGGCCCAGGCAGATTTATTTCCAGGCAAAGACGTCAGTGTCGATTTTGAGCTTGGAGGGCTTGCTCCCCGAGCCCCTGCTGGTGCCCGCGGCCCCTGCTTGCTTTCCAGTCGGGGGTGGGGGACCGACACTCATGTTTTTGCCAAAGGAAAAAAAGAGTGCATTCGCCAAGTGATGTATGAAGTGACCACAGATGGGAAGGAGACACCACGAACCCGCAGGATGGCTTCTTTTTGTCTTTCCCTCTGTACAGGGGGAGGGGTGAGGGGGGCTGCACCCCTGTGCCAGCAAGGGCGGTGAGCTTTCCCACCCCCCACCCTCTCAGCCCACCCACCAGCCCTGCGGGACCTCCAGGGGGACGGTGGTCTGAGGCGACCACCAGCCGCCAGGGTTGGGTGTCCAGCCACTGGGCCCCCAGGCACCCACCCCGATCTCCCTGGAGGAGGTCTCCTGTCTGCACCGCGGGTGCCCTGCCTGCCTCTCCTTGGAGGCCCCCCAGCATTACCCCCTTGGCGAGGACGCATACACACAGAAGCCCCCAGAGTGGCATCCATGTGGGTGGGAGCTCAGTGTCTGTGTCCCTTCACTGGGGGCCAATCTTCCTGTGAGGAGCACCAGGAAGGGACGGCCTCTGGGCGAGGACACAGCGCCGCAGGTTGGGGACAAACTTGACTTTTTTTTTTGGAGTAAATGGCAGCTTTCAGCTTTTTTCCTGGATTATTCAGATCATTCAATTGTCAAAGCCCTGAAATGTACCTCATAGAAAAGACTCTGTGAACACAGGGACGTACGCACAGTTAGAAGAAGGGTAACAAGAGAATTCATCACCTGGCTTGGGGAACGACCCGACCATCATCCCGGGGCCCTCGCCGTCCCCCTCTCTCCTGTCCAGGGGGGGCACTGGCCCTTAATTCTCGGGAATGTTGTCTTTCTTTATTGTTTCACCACAAACTCTTAAAATGGGTCTCCTTGCCCGTCCTTCACCTTGGTGCTCGGACTGTGCCGTGAGTGCCTCTGGGACGTGGGCTGCCTGTGCATGGACCACGAACAGAAGCCCCACTACTGCTGTGTGCTCACGCGTGTGCACATCACCACATGCGCAGACACGGTTCCAGCTTGAGGACCGGGGTGCGGCTGCCGGGCTGCAGTCGGCCTGTGTCCAGCAGCGTCCGCACCGGCAGGGGCACAGTTGTGTTTCGCTTTGCCAAACCGGCATCTCCGTGCTGTCTCACTTTGGGTTTCTCTGGATACAGATGAGGCCGAGCATCTCTTCCTGTGCAAACTGGCTGTTTATGTTTTTCTGTAAAATCCCATTCAGACCATTTGCCACCTTCACACTTGGGCGCTGTCTCCTGTTGGCTCAGGGAAGAGCCTGGCACGCTCTGGACACTCCCTGCGGCCACAGCTCCAGAAGCCTGTGCCCTCTGGCCACGCCTCCGTCCCCAAATGCTGGTGCACCTGGAACTCAGCTGTCACCCTTTGCCCCGACCAACCTCACGGCTCTGACACCAACTGCGTGCTCACAGCCCCTGACCTCATCACCAGCCTGGATTCCCCGCCAGGCACCAGGCCCCCGTCCAGCTGCCTGTGGCTGATGCCTTCGGAAGTCAAATCACACACGTGTCCCCCCTGTACCTTCCCATCCCAGGTCACAGTGGTCCATCCTTCCGAGTGCTCAGACCAAAAGGCCGGTCGTTCTTGCCTCAGCTCCACACCCATCCCTGTCCATGGGCAGCTGTGAGCCTGACCACTAGTCGGCCCTGCCCTCTGCCTGGCTCTCGGCAGCTGTGCCGCACTGACCACACCCACACCCACTGCCTGCACCCCCGCCTTTCTCCCGAGACAGTTCCCAGGCTGGGACACGGGGCCCCTTCCCCCAGCAGCACCAACCGGTGGCAGACGCAGCTGGGAAAACAGCCCAGAGACTGGAAAACCCGAACTGACCGACTGCTGAGCCTCGGGCTTAGCATGTCCTCGTGTGGGTCTCCCTGCTCGGCTCCCTCACAGGCCCAGGAGCCTCCCGTCACCATCCCGGGAAGTCACCACCCCGGTGACGCCTAGTGCGACCTCCAGACACCCTGTCAAAGCTCCCTACCCCATGCTCTCCGGTGCCTCCCACAAGGATGAGGCTGGAGAAGGGCGGAGGTGCGGCCTCCGACACACGCCGGCACCGCAGCGCTGCCTGGAAAGGCCAGAATGAAGGGAGGTCATGTCACCTGCTGACCCTTCCTTCTTCCGACCCACAGAAGCTCTTTACTCCGGCCCTTTCTTCCAGTTCAGCACCTTCCTGGTGCTTACAGATCAGTCCGTACCAAGGGCTTAAAGACATTCTCTATTTTCTTCTAAGAGTTTTAAAGGCCTGCTTCTTATACTTCAGCCTTCTCACCCACTTGCAGTAGACTTTTTGGGACCAGTGTGAACTGAGACCCGACGTCTGCGTGTCCCCACGTCGACCACGGATCCCACCCAGCTCGGCCCCTCCCCAGGCGGGCGGCGGCGACTTCCCAGTGGGTCACAGCGCGGCGGGAGCAGCCGCCTGCCACACCCCCCGCAGCACCTTCTCCTTCCTCAGTATCTTGACTCTGGGGGCTTTTGCTCCTTCTTATAAATTTTAGAAGCAGCTCAAGTTCCAAAACAAACAGACAAAATCACTGGTGTTTTGATGGAAATTGCCTTGAACCTGCAGATCCACTGGGGGAAACTGTCGTCTCTCTGAAATGTACACGACTTCCTAATTAATGTAAATAACGCCATCCGTTTCAGTCTCCTTAATCTCTTTCAATAAAGCGTAGTCACTGTCCACGCTGGGTCTGCCGTCTGGGCGCCGCGCGGTTGGCGACCCTGCTGCGTCCCCTCCTCGGCCGCCCGAGACTGGGCACCAGCCCTGGAAGGTGAGTGACGTGCTACCTCAGCGTCTCTGCCACAGGGGTGTTTTCTCTCTTCCTGTCTACTCACCGGACGAGGATTCACGGAACACCCGCGGCGTGGCGGGCGCGATTTCACGCAGGGAGCCTGACAGCCGAGCCCCGGCAGCCCCCTCGGCCTGACCAGGTTCCGGGCACAGCGCCAAGAAGAGCTGCTCACCGCCCTCGCTGTCCCCTTCTGGCTCAGACGGCGCTCCCTCCTCACGCTGCCACTGCAGACAGTGTCTGCGTGGAATTTTCTGGCAACTGCTCTTCGTCCACTTAGTGATTCCTAGGTTGCTAGAGCTTCTTTTTCATCAGGAGTAGAGTCTGCGCTTGGTTGGGTGTCTCCTCTGCAGCCACGACCGACCACACTCGCAGCAACTCCCAGGCAGAGCCCTGCGTCTGGGACGCACCTGCCCTCCCTCCCCGGACGGTGGGCCTGTCCGCCGAGCACATTTCGGAATTCCACGTGTTGGCATGACCAGTGAGCATGGGCCGCCGCCCTCCCTTCCCACTGCGTCTGTTTAAAAGGCTGCGAGCAACAGGGCGCACTCCCCACATTCTGTTCTCTGCGGGAAGCTGTGCAGAACTGGGGGGGGCCGCTCCTCACACCTCAGGGGGAGGGTGCAACAGGAGGTTGCCAACACGGTGAGCAGCGCTGGCAGACGGACGCAGAGCCCCGTGCGGGGCTGTCTGTGGTGGACAGAGACACTGCGGGGGCCCAGTGAGCAGTCCTGCAGACGCCTGCAGTTCGGAAGCAAGCTGTCCCCAGTGAGGGACCACCCTGCTGGCCCGGCAACTGTCTGCCCACGAGACTGTGTGTCTGTGGCACCACCCGCACACAGTGCAGGCGCCACACCCGGGACTGGACGCCAGCAGGACGCAGGGCTCAGTCCGACACCGCCGGCCCACACCTGGCTCCTCTTCCTCACTTACCACCCCCTGCCCCCCGCACCTCCAGTGATACCCCTGCAGACCTGGTTCAGGGAGGGGCTGGTCGGACATGAGGGTGCAGGCCCCACGAGAGTCCATGGCGCAGACAGCAGTGGCCACAGCGTGTGGAGGAGCAAGCTGCCTGGGGTCAGAGTCGGGGGGCCCTGGGCCTGGGGAGGAGGCCTCCAGACCAACCAGAGCAGGTCTGCACACACACAGACGCCAACAAGAGTCTGCAGCCCGGTGCTCCCGGGGCCCACAGAGGACCGGCCTCAAAGGCCCAGGTGAAGGCCCAGCCTGGGTCCAGCAGCTGGGCTCTATCTAGTAAGGCTCAGCGGCTGCAGTCCACGCAGGGCACGCAGCCGCTGCGGGCGGAGGTCCATGAGGACTCTGCGTGGGAGGCTGGGGCCACCGACATGTGCCGCTGGGGTGAGCTGCCTGCACGGGACCCGTCACCCTGCAGAGCCTCAGCCCAGCTCTCGGGTCGGCCTCACGGGGGCCCGGGCTCCGCACAACGGGGACTCTGGGCAGCAGAGGGTGAGCGCAGGGCGGCGGCCACAGGACCCGCTGCACGGCACTCGGGAGGCACAGATAAAATGCTAGCTTGGCGACGTGCCTCCCATCCTTCAGCACAAACCAATGGCTACGTCGGTGCTGGGTGTCTGAGCGGAGACACATGTGGCTCAGGCAGGGAACAGGCCAGGCCTGCAGGTCGCCCCGCCCACGTCCCCGAGGGACCAGGGGACTCTGCCCACCATCCCACATGTTTTGGTGTCAGGACTCCAGAGGTCCTGGCTCGGGGACGGGAACGTGCCGTGTGCAGCGAGTGCGGAGCCTGTCTCCCCGGCTCTCCGGGCCAGACACCCACAGGCAGAGCCCGGCTCCCACACGGCCGCCCTCGGCAGGGTCCCTGGGCCCCTCCACACGCCCCCCGTGACTGCTCTCAACCACGGTGGGACCAGGGTGGCAGCTGCTGGGTGCACAGCAAGCCAGGGGGAGGGCCCAGTCCCCTGCCCAGACGAGTGGGAGCCTGACGCCAGGCCCGGGGACCCCCGAAGGGGCACAGAAGGACAGCAGTGACCGACATCTGCTCACACCAGCCCTCTCCTCCGCGTGGGTGACCGGCCCCACCTGCGGAGGTGACTGAGGTGGACACCATGTGAGGCCTGGGCAGAGCGGACCGGGCCAGGTTGGTACCCAGATGTCCCTGCCCTTGTGAGGCCTCACAAGGGTGACACCTGCTGTCCCTACCCCCCTAGGACTCGGGCTGTGGGAGCCCCTTCCTACTGGTGTCTGAAGACTGAGCCCTTGGGGGACAGAAGTCAGGGCTCCCGGCTCTGAGCTGTGACCCACCCGGGCTCAGCCGCCGGAGCTGCCTCTCCTCCTGGTCCCCCAACCGCCCTGTGCGGTTTTGCTGGAATATTCCTGTGAGCCGCCTTCCCCTCGCCCCCGGGTCTGCTCCCACCGAGACCGAATGAAGATGCGCCGCCGTTGAACCCCACGTCGGGTACTGCACTCAGAGAGCAGGCTTCACGGTTCCGACCCTTTGAAACGTGGCCACTGCAGCCCGTGTCTGTGGCTGAGCGTGACTCACGTGTGTGTGACAAGGGTCACATCTCCAGTCTCGTCTATAAGGTGAAGCTGCAGCAAAACCCTGTGAATTCCCATCAGTTTCAGTTTGCGTGCTCTCGGTGCCGGGTTGTTAGACCCATGCAAATTCGAAGACTCTTGGCCTCCCCAGCCAGCTGTCGCCGTGAGCCGCTGCTGCCAGCCCAGTAGACATTTCGGGAATGTCTTCTCACCCAGAAGGAGCATTTTCTGAGAGGCACCAAGTCCCCAGACTGCACCTGTGGCGGGGAGCCCGCGGCCCAGGCTCCGGGGAGTGCCTGCCGGACAGGGGGGCCGCCCTCCGAGAGGAAACCACTCTGGGGCCCCAGAGGGGGCTCGAGAAATGCTACTTACCGCAATCTCTGTTACTAAAATATCAGTAATACTTCCCAACACAGTCACAAAGTCAAAGACGTTCCAGGCGTCTCGGAAATAGTTCTAGAGAGAAAGAAAAGCACTGAGGGCTCCACCAGGAAGGGTACCCAGAGGGGCCCTGGTCGAGAAGGGGCAAGGGGGCCAAGCGGGGGCAGAGTCGGGAGTGGGCGTCTGCCACACGTGCTCTGGGGCTCAGGGCCCCCCCGCTCCAGGCCAGGAGCCCCCCAAGGCCCCTCTGCAGAGGGCAGCAGGACGAAGGTGGCACAGCCCGGGGGCCCAGCCACATACCAGCACCCCGAAGGCGATGATCTTCAGCACGCACTCCATGGAGAACATGGACGTGAACACCATGTTCAGGCACTTCAGCATCAGCTCGTACTCGTCCGGCGCGTCGTAGAACTGCCCGGAATGGGAGCTGTGGGTCCCGGGCTCCGTGGCCCCAGGTTCCCACGAGGGACGGGGACCACTGTGGCTTCCGTCCGAGCACCTCCCAGCCAAGGACACCCGTCCCCGTGCCTCACGCACTCCCACCGCGGGGGCCGGGGCTGATGGACAGCACGCTGGCCGGGCCAGGCGCCCCGCAGCCCCGCCCCCAGCGAAGACCCACCTTCATCATCAGCACCACGGTGTTGAGGGCGATCATGGCCATGATGAAGTACTCGAAGGGCGGCGAGACCACAAACGTCCACGTCTTGTACTGGAAGCTCTGCTTGCTCTGGGGCATGTGCCGCGTCAGGGGCCTGGCGCTGATGGCGAAGTCGATGCAGGCTCTCTGCTCGGGGAGAGCGGCGCCCGCGGCTCAGCCTCCTCTGGGGGCCCCGCCGCCCCCCAGCTTGCCTGGCTGCGCGGGGTCGGGCCAGCAGGGACGCACACAAAGGCCCCAGCACCCTCCCGACCCCCCAGGGCCTGGCCGAGCCTCGGCAGGTGGCACCCGCCCTGACGAGCGGGACGGAGTGCCCACCTCGTTCTTCTCCAGGCTGCACTCGGACATGACCTTGTCCCCCTGCTCCTGGAACGTGATGATGATCAAGGCCACGAAGATGTTGACGAAGAAGAAGGGGAAGACCACAAAGTACACCACGTAGAAGATGGACAGCTCCATGCGGTACCCGGGGCTCGGGCCCTGCTCCTCGTAGGTGGCGTCCACGGAGTGTTTCAGCACCCTGGGCCGGGGCCGGGCGCCAGGGTCAGGGCAACACGATGCACGGCCCCGAGCACGTCGGGACCGGCACCCGGTGCGGCTCCCATGCCTGAGCCCGCAGACGGCCCTGCCGCACGGGGGCCCGAGCCCCAGGTGCTGTCTCGAGGTGGCCGGGCCACTGCCCACAGGGCCGCAGGCAGGGCTGTAGGAGGCCCTCGGGAGGCAGACTCCACGGGCCCGAGGGCCCATCCGAGGGCTCCACCCCGCCCCAGCCCACCAAGCTCACCCGCCTGCTCCCAGCCCACACACGCGGCCGGTGCCCGTGCTCCAGACTCCCCAGGGCTCAGCAGGGAGCGTCCTGCCCGAGCACCTGTCCTGCCTCCCTGCTGCTCAGTGTGGCTCTGAACTCCAACATCCCCCAGCTACCTGATGGCAGCCCGCGGCCCCTCAGCCTCCGGCAGCTCATAAAGACTTCCAGCTCACCAGGCTGGACTCTGCGGTTGGATGGCCTGAGGGCCAGGAGACAGAGCCTCGGGCACCGTGAACGACCAAAGCCACACAGAGCTGGTGCTGCCCCCCGCCCCCACCCCCCGGCCGGCCTGACGCGGACGGGCACTCACACGGGCCAGCCCTCCCCGGTGGACACCGTGAACAGGGTGAGCAGGGCCCAGAGCACGTTGTCGTAGTGGAAGTCGTACTTCCTCCACTGCCGCGGCTGGGCCTCCACCTCCTCCCGCTCGTAATCCAGGTACTGGCCCCTGGGGAGAGACACAGGGGGCAGAGGTTAGGAGAGGGTCCGGCAAACCCGTGCGCTGATGGTGGAAGGACTTCTGGGAGGTGCTGTGCCCTCAGCGCAGAGAGAAAAGTCTCTCCAACAGGTGGCGCTGGGACGACGAGGTGAGGATGCACAGAGGAGAGACCTGGGCCCCGCAGCCCACACCACACACCAAAACCGACCCCCTGGACAAGCGGCCTGCGTGTGAGAGCTAAACCCCTAACGGTCCTGGAAGAAAGCACGGGCCTCTGGTTTGCAAACGGACCCTTGGATCCGACACCAAGCCCGGGAGCCACAGCAGAGAACCGGACACACAGGACTCTCCCGACAACGCCCGTGTGCCCCCCGGCACGCCCACGGCGCAGGATGGGGCGGGACTGCTGAGGGGCATCGGTCCTGCAACTGTGTCTGCAGCACAGAAAGAACTACCCCAACCCACGCGTTTAAAGCTGGGTCGAGGGCCTGGGTAGACACCTCCCCGGAGATGACAGGACGGCCAGCAGACGGGGGGCAGGACTGCTCACGAGGGGGACGCACGTCAGAACCACAGAGACGCAACCTCGACCCACCAGGACGGCCACCACGGTACTTCGAAAAAGGAAAAGAGCAGGTGCTGGCGAAGACACGGGGACAGCAGGACCCTCTCGGGCTGCTGGGGGGCGCGTGGCACCCCAACCACTTAGGGGGACAGCCTGGCACTGCTGGGCTGACAGAGGGGCCGCCGGGCCGGCCACCCACTCCCCGTGCAGGCGTCCACTCAGGAGTCGCGACAGCCGCCTCTGTCCCCACGAACTGACACCCGTCCACAGGGGGGACAGACTCAGGGACACTCGACCACACGCTCTGCGACATCCGGGACAGAAGGCTGCGGACGCGGACAGAGCCCAGCTCTCCTCACAGCTGCTGAGGGCCGGCGTGGGCTCACTGCGGTTTCAGGGGACGAGAGCATCTCGAATGGACCATGGAGACGGTGCACGTGTCCGGGAATGTTCCAAAACCCACGAATTGCACACTTTCAGTGGATGACTTTGACGAGTTATGTCTTAGTAGCTACTTTTATGAAAAAACAAAGAATCCCGGTCTTTTCATATACACAGTGCTGGGCTGCAGGGGTCTCCATGGACAGAAAGCTCGTCTCCCTCCAGGCCAATTGCCAATCGAAAGGTGAAAGGCAAAAGCACGACTCCTGGGGGGCACGTGAGGGGCCCCGCCCAGCCCCTGGGTGGGTTTCCTAGACAGGACGGGGTCCCGCACGGGAGAAGTGAAAACCAGACCGACCACCGTCGGCGCCTGTCCTGTAAGAGACACAGCCACACCTCTGCCCAAAGAGCCCGACCCGACTCTAGAGGAGGAGGCAGGCGTTGCACCCAGGACAAAGGGCTGCGGCTGGCACGGACACACCAGGGACAGGGCCACGCCAGCAGCCAGTCCGCCTGGGCAAAGGCATCGCCCGGGTGTGACGCCCCGACCCTCCCCAGAAAGGCAGGGAGAAACCAACCCCAGGACCAGTGGGAAACGGCCGTCGCACCCCTTCCACACTGGTGGGCCCGAGTTTTCCTCAGAGACGTGGCAGCCGCTTGGGCGGCTCGCGGGGCCTCACGCAGGAACCACCCATGAGCCCATCGGGCACGGCACGCAAGGACAGCGGGCCCGCCGCTGCCTCACGGACCCGACGGTGGCTGTCCGCTGCTGCAGTGGCGCCGGGCCCAGTGGCTGTGGCCATCCCGTCGGGCACCCTGCTGACCTCAGGGCCAGCCCAGCCCTGCAGGGTCCGCAGAGCCCCCGAGCAGCTCCCCTGTCCCCCCGGACGAGGCTGGTCCCGACCTGGGGGCCCTGGTACCTGCAGTCGCGCTCCAGCTCCTTGGACTCGTCCGTGCAGTAGAAGAACTTGCCCTTGAACAGCTGCACGGCGATGACGGCGAAGATGAACATGAAGAGCATGTACACAATGAGGATGTTGAGCACGTTCTTCAGGGAGTTCACCACGCAGTCGAACACGGCCTGCGGGGCGGGCGCACCCTCAGGACCAGGGCCTCCTGCAGCCCAGGTGCGGCAGGGCCCTTGTGGCCCTGAGCCCCGGGACCACCAGGGTGCCCGCTGTCCTCTCTCCCAGGAGACAGGGCCATCTTGGATGTGACAGTGTGGGCGGGTGTTGCAGGAGAGGTGTCGGGGCAGGTGGGCCACAGAGCAGGGATGGCCCGGGGCCTGGCTGGCCTGAGTCAGGTGGGGCTGACCCAGAGGGGCAGCCGGGAGGACAGGATGCGGCCAGGCCCCCATCCCTGCTCCTGGGCCTCCCAGAGGCCACGCTTGGCTCCCGCCCCGCAGGACACAGGTGGGCCGAACAGTGGAGATGCTGCCGCAGCTCCGTTTGGGCCGCGGGCGGGCCCTGCCCTCTGTGACCGCCACGCCTCCTCTGGCCTCTTCCCCACCTGGGAGCCCCGCTCTCCCGGTCCAACTGACCCAGCCTGGCCCCCGCTTCTCTGAGCCGAGCAGACGCCCTGTCCCACTTCCAGTGCAGAACGGCAGATGCCCAGCCTCCTGCCGAGACACAGCAGCTGCCAGCGCGGCCACAGCCACCGCACAGTGGGCTCTGCGAAATGCCCCTGGGCCATGTTGCCTCTGTCCCCAAGGCCAGCACCCTGAGCCGCCTCAACCCAACTGTAGACACTGTGGGGGGATTAAAGGGCTTCGGGCACAGAGGGCACCTCCCCCAGGGCCGGGCACAAGGGCAGCAGACTCTGAGTGCTGGAGAGCACGCCTCCCTTCACCCGGAACCTCAGCCGCACCCGCCCCGCCCCATGGCAGCGCCTGGGGTCCCGCGGGCCTCCGCCTCCCCTGGCACGGCAGCCAATGAAGCGCGGTCCCTCCTGCGGCTTGGGCCAGAGAGCAGAGGGCCCGCCCCACCCAGCAGCACGGTCTGAGAAAACCCAGCGTGGGGGGACTCAGCTCCGCGCCCCCCACCCCCACAGAAGCCGCAACAGGACAGGGCCAGTTACACGTGCACAGAACATGCATGTGCACGCTCACGCGTGTGTGCATGCCGGAGAGGTGCACAGCCCCCGCACTTCTGGAGCCCCGACGCCAGGCCCTCACCTTGAGCTTAGGCAGCCGCTTGATGGTCTTCAGGGGCCGCAGGACACGCAGGACACGCAGGGACTTGATGGTGTTGATGTCTTTCCCTTTGGAGCCTCTAGAAGGAGAGCCACGCATGCAGACGGCGTCCGTCCCCACGAAGCCCTGGGGCCCCGGCTGCACTCCCCGGGGTCAGAGTGGCCGAGGGCCAGGCCAGTGGCGCGGCAGCGGGGGGACAGGGCAGGGAGTGCAGAGCCCCCTGATGGGAAGAACCTGCTGCCCCAGACACTCCCGCCCCCAATCCAGCTCCTGCCTGAGTGTAGGAGGGAGAGGGAGGCGGGCTGGCGGGAGCCTGCGGGAGTCTGGTCTCCCTGCCTGTCCTCCGTCGGAGCCAGAGGCTCCTCCAAATGACGTCCCACCGCACACCGAGGAGCGGGGGGAGGGTGCAGGAGGCCATCCCCAGAAGCGAGGCCGAGGCCCTGAGGCGTGGGCCAAGGCTGAAGGTTCAGGACTTGAAGCCCCAACACATCTTACCCAGAGACCCCTTCTCCCCAAGTTCAGGGACCTGCACATGGGGAAAGTGGGGTCCCTCTGTCTCCTCAGGCTCCAGCCAAGCTCTGGGGACAGCGAGCTGCAAGGCCCAGGCAGGCTCCATGGGCGCGGGGCCCTCAGGCGACCCAGTCCCACCCCAATGCCCTGGGAGCAGCGGGGCCTCCACAGTCACGTCACGCTGCCCCAGAAACACCCACCTCCCAGGTGGGACTCCCCAGCCTCTGAGCTCCGGTCAGCTTCCTCCATCACTGCAGCATCCTAACACCCTCCCCAAACTCACTCCCCAGCCTCCTGCCGAGCCAGCACGGGGAACAGGGCAGAGGAGGCCTGCCCAGGACGGCGGGCGCCACAGGCCCGCAGGGGAAGGCGGCCCTGCCCTGCTCCCGCGGTGGGGACGGCTCCCTGTGGCAGCAGGCCCTGGGCGGTCGGCGCTCCCAAGGGCCAGTGGCTGCGCCGCCCCGCACCAGCCCAGCTCCTGCTCTCGCTCTGAGGCCGCCTGGCTCCACCTCGCCTATGCCCTCACTTCACTCCAAGTCACCAACCCTGGCCAAGGTGGCACCTCCTTCTCAGGGAAAGAGGGCAGGTGAGTCCTTGGGGGAGAGGCTGGGCATTGCCGGGAGGCAGTCATCCAGGGAAAAGAGGAAAGAAGCCGCGTGTCTGGGAGCAGACACGGGAAGATGCGTCTGGTGTCCATGTCTGCTCACACGCCAGCTGTCCACCCAGAACCGCCCACAGGCCCTCGTGCCCTGCCTCCAGACTCGTGCGGACAGCCTGCTCCCCACACCTCACCAGGGACTGCCCCCCATGAGGTGGGGACGCGGGGGTGCCTGGGGACATGGCTCCGGCAACATGCGGCCCGGAAGGCGGAGGTGGATGAGCGGAGATGAGGTGACGCAAGGGCCCCGAGGGGCAGCTGTGATGTGGGCAGTGTGGGTGGGAGGAGGGAGGCATTACCCCGTGAAGCTCCTACCAAGAGTCCAGCAACGGGAGACAAAGAGAAGAGAGTCAGTGAGGGGCCTGGCCAGGGGCAGAGAGGATGGAGCCCCGCCCTTCGGCACCTGCGTCGCCTGGGCACCCTGACCTCTGCGGGCGACCCTCGCCCCACCCAGGCCTCGGCACCGGCCTCAGCCCCCCTCCACACGGGCCCAGCACAGCGGGAAACCAGAGAACGCAGCCTAGAGCCCCGAGGCAGGCGGCGCCCCCCCAGCACCCGCAGCCCTGGCTGCTGAAGGCGGGCGGGGAACTCTGCCGACACCAGGGGGTGAACAAGCCAGAGACCCGCCGGCCCCACTTCAGAGCCAGGGACTGTATCAGGGCCCCGCAGGGCTTGGGCCCCCCCCACCACAGAGCCCAGGCCCAAGCGGACGGGGACGGAGCGACAGATGCCCTGGAGGCCAGCGTCCCCGTCCAGTGCCCTGGATGCCCTGGTGCCCCAACCCTGTCACACCCGGGGGCGGGCCCGGGGCAGAGGCGTGCACTTACGAGAAGGCGAAGGCCACCAGGGCCCCACTGACCACGATGAAGTCCAGGATGTTCCACAGGTCCCGGAAGTAGGCCCCCGGGTGCAGCAGCAGCCCCAGATCGATCATCTTGGGGAGAAGCACAGTTTGGGGGTTTCTCAGGGTTTCTCAGAAGGAAGGGCAGAGCCACAGCCCAGAGTCGGTGGTTCAGAGGGGAGGGTGCCGGGTGGGGCGACACCCTCCTGGGGGAGGGGCCCCAGCCCAGGCCACTGAGGGCCTTCGGAGCTCACTGACATTGACCCCAAACATCCCTGCGTGGTCCTGGCTGAGACTTGGCACGGGCCCTGCTGCAAGAACTGGGTCTACCCCTCCGACGGCATGACCGCTGGCCAGCACCTTCCTGTCTCTAAGCTGCGACTTACTCATCTGTGGATGGAACACCAGCACCTCCCCCAGGTGAGTGGGGACAGAGAAGAGACAGAGGTGTACACAGGGGCAAAGCCGCCCCGAGTTGCACACGCTGCCCACACTGAGCTGCCCTGTGCTGGGGACGGACAGGTGTGCACTGACCCGCACAGAACGCATGCCCGTGTACACACACCTGTGCACACACCGGCCACTCATGAGACACTGACTGACGTGCCCGTCAACGCTCAGCACGGAAAGTGGGCTCGCGGTGGAATGCGCTCTCCACGGCCCGCAGACCCCAGGCCCCCGCACGGGCGTCGGCGGCACCGCTCACCGAGCAGGGCCTGGTCAGGAGCGTGCGTGACTCTGCCAAGGCTGATGGACGCTGTGCTGAGTCCTCAGTGAACGACAGCCTCTCGTGTCCCGTGCATGCACGTGTGAGGGGCACACCTACCACACGCCTTCAGGGAGACTCCGTGAGAGAGGGTGACGGGGGCAGGGGCTCCCAGGTCACTCACCTTTATCACCATCTCGAAGGTGAACACGCCTGTGAAAATGTAGTCCAGGTACTTCAGGACCTGCAACCGAAAGGAGGGTGATTCTTGCAGGGGCCTGATGCCGGAGCCGGGGCCGTTTCGGGAGCTCCGGGTCCCTGCAGACCCCAGGGCGGACGGCCCAGCAGCCAGGGGACCTCAGCCACAGCCCCGGCTCCCACACCGGGCATGTCCGTGATGTGGGGCTGGACCCTGGCACCACCCGCCTTCCGTGGCCGACAGCGGCACCCACGTTGTTCCTGGGCGAGTCTGTCCGCACAGGGTCCTCAGCGGCCAAGGCGATGCTGCTCAGGGCGATGACCACGAGGATGACCATCTCGAAGTACCGCATGGTCACGATGTAATGGCAGAAGCGGCGAAGCCTGGGGGACAACGCACGGCTCACCCGGGGCCGACGGACAGGCTGGCTGGGCCCTTCCTCGGTCCCGCTGCTCAGACTCTCCCACAAGAAGCTGGGCTCCCAGTGTCGGGAGGTGGCGGCAGGTGACGGACGGAGGGTGACAGTCCCGAGAGGGTGTCCCCGGAGGAGCGATGGGACAGCAGCAGCACCCAGGGCAGGGCCGGCGGACACCGTGCGCAGGGGCAGACCGGGCCCCGTGGAGCCCAGCAGGGCCGCGCGTCCCGGCCACTGGGCACAGGGCGGGACAGCAGCACATGTGCGATGCAAGCTGACGGCAGACGCTCAGATGCTGACGCGCAACGTGACCCGGCAGAGGACGGTGGCAGGGGGTCAGGGAAGGCCCCTCTGCCAGGACGGCGAGGCCGCACCCGGACGAGGAGAAGGAAGCGGTGCGAGCGACGCGGGCCCCCCGCCCTGCGTGGTCCCAACGCGCCCGGTTCGCCCTCTGCAGCCGGCCCCCCAGCCCGCGACCCTTCCTGCCGCTGACCACTCCTGCCCCCAAGCTCCTTCCATCTGAAAGGACCACCTACACCCACCTGCTTCCCTCCCCCTTGGCGGGGTCACCACCCCGACCACTGCCCCCGCCCTGCCGTCCACGCCCCGGCCACGTCAGGCCCGCTGGCCCCTGCTGGCCCCTGCTGGCCGCTGCTGGCCGCTCTCCTAACGGAAGTGGCAGGTGCACCCTGTGCTGTGTCCACTGCCCCCGGCCGCACGCCTCCCCTGCTCAGTGGGCCCCCGGCTCCCAGACACTGGTGGGGCCGACGAAGGGTGTGCGTGAGGAGTGAGTGGGAGACGCGTGGCACTGTGACGGGTGAACAGAGGACACACGGATGATGAGTGTGTGTGACATGCCTGGCCCACGGGCTGTGGACGGGTGGCGTGGGCAGGGAAGGAGACTCACAGGTTGGTGGGGCTCAGGCAGAACATGGAGCTGTACGGGACGATGGGCCGGGGGCCGCTCCTCAGCGCGTCGTCGGCTTCCGCCTCCTTCTTCCCCTCCGCCTGGCTCTCCAGGTCCACGGTGCCGCCTGCGAGGACACAGACTGCCACGTTGGGGGTGTGGCGCACGCACAGGCCACACTGCACAGGCCGCACAGACGCTGTCCCAGCTCTAACCCTAGTGGGCGGGCGGCAGGGAGGGGCCCTGTTCGAGGACCTGCCCCAAAAGGGGTGAGGCTGGGAGGCAGCTTCGCATGACTCCCTCCAACTACGGCCAGAAGCAGCCCTGGGGACCCTCGGAGACCCCTCTGTGTGTCACGTGTCACCAGCGTGGGGCCCCCTGGCCATGGACACCTCTGCCTCCACCGGGACCCCTCGGCCGCTTGGACCAGGGCAGGTGGGGGGTCCTGTCCCCGCCTTGTTCTGGGTCAGGCTCGCCCTGGAGAAGAGACGCCCTGTGGTTCCTCTGCCAGGACCCAGTCGCCCTGGACCACAGACACCCTGTGGGACCCGGTGGTCCTTCGAATTTGTGCCCGGGAGGTCGGAGGACGCCGGCTGGGAGGGTGCCGGCCGCAGACACGCCCTGCGCACACTCCTCACACGCTCCCTCGCTCACTGTCCTGGGCCAGCCTGACTCCGCCCCGCTGCAGCCAGCTTCCCACAGATCGGACTCCCCAGGGCTAAACTGGCCGTGGCTTTGGTTTTTTTCAGGCAGAGACGGTTCTCTGTGCACAGCATTTTCTCACAGCAGTCTTCTGTTTTATCGACGCTAACGTGCGTTTCCACTCTCGCAGGTGACATTGTTCCCAAGCGCTCAGAAAGGCCGGGGACAGCCAGTGTGGGGACTGGGAGCCTTTTGTGTCCCACTGCCCCTTCTTGCAAGAGATGTAGAGGCAACAAGGACATTACAGGACCACACAGGGCTCTTGCCCTGGCTCCAGGCCCCTGGCCCAGCAGCGGCCCCTCCGTGGTCCTGCGGGGCTGGGCTGGCCGAGGAAGATGCCCAAGCCTGGGCCGCACTTCTGCACCAGCACCAGCTCCCCTGCCCGGGGGGGCGGGAATCAGACAATCTCACGACGTGAAGTCACAGCCCGCAAAGCGTCTGTCCACTGATTCCACCTGGAAGACACCTCACCTGAGGAGGTCAGGCGCGCACACGGAACCCGTGCTCACCAAGGTGGCACCGTTAGCTCTGTCACAATGACCCAACGCTGTGATATCGGAGACGGCACACAGGACCCGTGTGAAGCTCTGTGTTAGACACGCCTGTGGGCAGTGCCAGTGAAGAAAGGAGAGGCTTACGACGCGGCTGAAGAGATGCTGGGAGACTGGACAAGCACATCTGTGTCCCAGACAGGCTCGCCCATGACAAGGAGCAGCACGGGGACAGAAGCAGCACCAACATGACTGCCGTGGTGGCCGCTGTGACAGTAATTTTAGTCCCTTTTGTAACAGAGTGCAGCCAAGAGGGGGGCCCCAAATAGGGACTTGGAATGGGCTCCAGAGCTCAAGGTGTCCAGGAAATATTGGAGAGATATACAGGACATACGTATATCTATGTCCTCCCCCTCCCCCCACAGGTGTGAGTTGGGGGGAGGGACACGTGGGGCAGGAACACACAGGGCTGTTTTGCACAGCCACGGCTTTGCCGCTGTTCCGTGGCAGGGTCATTGGACGTACCCATAGCCTTTGGCTGGCTGCATAGATGTTACATAGCTGTGGCCATGCCTTGAGCCGGGGGATGGAAGTGATTTGCACCCAAGATGTAACTGGGGAGCAGGTCCCCCGAGTTACAGCGCCTGCGTGAGAGCTTGGAGAGGACTGGCTCCATGACAGGGGGCCACACCTGCCCAGACCCACGATGGCAGCCCAGTAAACTGGGGATAATACAGGAATGCTGGCAGGCGTAATGACAGTAGGAGGAGTCGGAAATGGGGGTACAGAGGAAGGCTGGCGTGGGGATTTAAACCCAGATGCAGCAGCCATGTGAGGAGGGAACCACGCGGCATTGGCCAGAGTGGGGACCCCCGCAGACATGTGAGGGTGAATCCCCAGGCGGCAGGAGAGGGTCATGCAGCTTTAGCAGAGAGTCGCCACCAGGCTGTGGCAGAGTAAAGACCCCTTCACAGCTTTGCCAAGGAGAACCACGCGGCTTGATCCTGGCTGACGACACAGCTGATGGTGCCAGGAGCCTGAATCTACTTCTTTCCTGAGATGTGGTGCCCAGATTAGGGCAGAGGGAGCAGGGAGGACTGTGTGTGTCTGTGGGTGCCCTAAAGGACTGTGATGTTTTAATGAAGACGGTAGGTCACTACTGTAAGTCTGTATAGCTTTAAATAAACATTTCCTTTCCTTTTCACAAATCTCTGGCACTGAGAGACATCTTTCCTCTGGCGGTGGACAATTCGAACCTGGGGGGTCCTTTCGGTCATAGTGTACCATTACCCCCAGACCCTGTGCTGTAACAGTTCCACTATAGCTTTAACAACCAAAAGTTTTCTGATGATACTCACACCTTACCTTTAACTTAAGAATTTTGGACTTCTGGCCAAGATGGAGGTGTAGGTAGCCACACTGTGCCTCCTCGTACAACCAAAAGAAGAACAACAACAACAACTTAGAAACAAAAAAACAATCAGAACTGACAGAAAATTGAACTGTACGGAAGCCCAACAACCAAAGAGCAAAAGTAGACTCGTTCATCCAGAGGGGTAGGCGGGCAGAGTCGGAGGCCAGGCGGAGAAGGGTCGTAGCGACAAAAAAGTGGTGGCTGGCGGACCCAGCAAGGCAGCAGACTGTGGAGGGGTTTACAGAACTGGGCGGTCCCACACTCACGCACAGTTAAACCAGGAGAGACTGGGGAGCGAGACAGACCGCGCGACCCAGGGCCCCGGCTGGGAAATAAAGTCTCAAAACACCAACTGAAAACACCTGTGGGGCTTGAGGTGCCAGGACAGACTCCCAGCCTCACAGGAGAGTTCACTGGGAGACCCACAGGGTCCTAGAACAAACACAAGCCCACCCACACGAAATCAGCCTCAGAAGGGCCCAGTTTGCTTCTGGGAAGCGGCAGAAGTGACCAAAATCCGACAGAGCAAAGCAAGTGCCACTGTTCCCTCTTGGACCCCTCCCCCACATACAGTGTGGCAACGCAGCAACTGGGTTGCCCCACCTGGGCTAACACCGAAAGCTCTGCCCCTCACTACACAACAAGTGCATCAAAACAAAAAAAATGGCCCAAACAAAAGAACAGATCAAAGCTCCAGAAAAAATACAACTAAGTGACCAAGAGATAGCCAACCTATCAGATGCACAGTTTAAAGCACTGGTGATCAGGATGCTCACAGAATTGGTTGAATTTGGTTGCAAATTAGATGAAAAAATGAAGGCAACACTAAGTAAATGAAGAAAAATGCACAGGGAACCAATACTGATGGGGAGGAAACTGGGACTCAAATCAACAGTGTGGACCAGAAGGAAGAAATAACCAAACAGAAAAGAACGAAGAAACAAGAATTCAAAGGAATGAGAAGAGGCTTAGGAACTTCCAGGACATCTTTAAACATTCCAACATCCAAATTATAGGGGTACCAGAAGGGGAAGAGGAACAGCCACCAGTGGAAAACTTATTTGAACAAATAATAAAGGAGAATTTCCCCAATCTGGCAAAGGAAATAGACTTCCAGGAAATCCAGGAAGCTTAGAGAGTTCCAAAGAAGTTGGACCCAAGGAGGAACACACCAAAGCACACCATCATTACATTACTGAAGATTAAAGATAAGGAGAGACTCTTAAAAGCAAGACAAGAGGGGAGAGTTACCTACAAAGGAGTGCCCATGAGACTCTCAACTGATTTCTCAAAAGAGACCTTGCAGGCACAGGTAAAAGGGGCTGGAGAGAAGTATTCCAAGTCATGAAAGGCAGGACCTACATCCAAGATTGCTCTATCCAGCAAAACTTTCATTTAGAATGGAAGGGCAGGTAAAGTGCTTCTCCGATAAGGCCAAGTTCAAGGAGTTCATCATCACCAAGCCCTTATTTTATGAAATGTCAAAGGGACTTACCTAAGAAAAAGATGATAAAAAACATGTATAGTAAAATGACAGTAAACTCACAGTTATTAACAACCACACCAAAAACAAAAACAAACTAAGCAAACAACTAGAACAGGAACAGAACCACAGAAGTGGAGATCACACGGAGGGTTAGCAACAGGGGAGTGGGAGGAGGAGAAGGGGGGTAAAAAGGTACAGAGAACAAGTAGCATAGACGGTAGGTAGAAAATAGACAGGGGAGGGCAAGAATAGTATAGAAAATGTAGAAGCCAAAGAACTTATATGCATGACCCATGGACATGAACTAAAGGGGGGAATGTGGGTGGGAGGGGGTGTGCAGGGTGGAGGGGAGTGAAGGGGGAAATAGGGCAACTGTAATAGCATAATAAATAATATATATATATACATTTTTTAACCATTACTTTAAAAAAATATTTTATTTATTTATCTTTACAGGGGATGGGAAGGAGAGAGGGAGAGAAATATCAATGTATGGTCACCTCTCATGCGTCCCCTGCTGGGACCTGGCCCGCAACCCAGGCATGTGCCCTGACTGGGAATCGAACTGCGATCCTCTGGTTCATAGGCCCATGCTCAATACACTGAGCTACACCAGCCAGGGCTAAAATCTTTTTTTTTAAAGAAGACTTTTACTATTTTTACTACTATTTTAGTTCTCAGCTGAGGATAAGTTTATTGATTTTAGAGAGAGAGAGAAACATAAAAAAAAAAAAGCTTTCGGCTTTCGGCTCAGAGGAGGCGAGGGTGCAACTTTCTTCGGTTCTTCGGTCGTCCCGAACCCGGGTTCATCCGACGCCAGCGCCTCCACTGTGCCGCCAAAGTTCGACCCCAACGAGACCAAAGTCACCGACCTGAGGTGCACCGGGGGGAAGTCGGTGCCGCGTCTGCCCTGGCCCCCAAGATCGGCCCCCTGGGCCGGTCTCCAGAAAAGGTTGGTGACGACATCGCCAAAGCAACCGGTGACTGGAAGGGTCTGAGGACGACAGTGGAACTGACCGTTCAGAACAGACAGG